GTCAGCATGCGGTTGCGATTGCGCGAGATCTCGGTATCCGACAAGCCCTGATCCCGAGATACTCGAGTATTCTATCTGCCTACGGAATGGCTCTTGCGGATGTGGTGGTTGAGAACCAAGAGCCCGAAGCTGCTGCCTTCACTGCTGATAATATCCCCAAACTTCAAGAAAGGTTTGAGAGACTGAAAGGTGCGGGTGTTGCAGGACTTGTTTCCCAAGGATTCTCAAAGCCGCAAATTTACCACGAGTTATTCCTAAATATGAGGTACCAGGGCAGTGACACAGCTTTGATGATACCCCGACCAGTCAAATTTGAAGAGTTTGGTGATGCTTTCGCCGCTCGCCATCAACAAGAATTCGGATTCAGGCAGCCTCGGGAGATTCTGATTGATGATGTTCGCGTTCGGAGTATTGGAAAGGGTATGGATGTCGCCCTTTCTAGCGTTTGCGCGGAAATGAAGAAACTGGCAGACTCGCCCCCTGCCACCCCGGTCGCTCCCGAGAGGAATATCAAGGTCTATTTCGAGCAAACTGGCTGGATTGATATCGGGCTTTATTCACTGAAGGATCTATCCGTTGGTACGCGTATCAGCGGACCGGCTATGGTCATCGACAAAACCCAAACAATCGTTGTGGATCCTGCTAGTGAAGCTGTCATCTTGCCTGAACATGTGGTGATTGAGATCTCTGGAATAGAAAAGCCGGAGATCAGCACCGATGCGGTGGATCCTGTCCAGCTCAGCGTGTTCGGACATCGATTCATGAGTGTTGCCGAGCAAATGGGCCAGACCATGCAAAAAACCTCAATTTCGGTGAACATCAAGGAGCGATTGGACTATTCGTGTGCCATCTTTTCTGGTGAGGGCAGTCTCGTGGCAAACGCCCCTCACATTCCTGGGCACCTAGGCTCTATGAGCTATGCCATCGCATACCAAGCGCGCCGATACGGACCCGGAGAGTTGAAACCCGGCGACGTTATCCTCAGTAACCACCCTAGCGCTGGTGGTACACATCTGCCAGACCTGACAGTGACTACACCCGTCTTCGATGATGATAAAAACCCGACAAAAATCCTATTTTTCGTCGCCAACAGAGGGCACCATGCAGATATTGGCGGTATTCAGCCGGGTTCCATGCCCCCTAATTCAACAGAGCTTTGGCAGGAAGGTGCGGCAGTGGAGTCTTTCAAGATTGTGAAAGAAGGGGTCTTTGATGAGCCGGGCCTTCTCGAGGTCCTGGTTGATATTCCAGCCTCATATCCGGGTTCGAGTGGCACTCGCACACTGCGCGACAATATTGCTGATCTTCAAGCTGCGATCGCATCAAATAACAAGGGCATTCATTTGATTCAGTCCTTGATCAAGGAATATACTTGGCCAGTAGTTGAGTTCTATATGAAAGCAATCCAGGAGAATGCCAGCCAGTCTACGCGTGGGTTGCTCAAGATCATCGCGCAGCGATTTGAAGGACAACCTCTGGAAGCTGTCGATTACATCGATGATGGGACGCCTCTCGCATTGAAGATCACGATAGACCAAGAGACGGGCGATGCAGTATTCGACTTCACAGGTACTGGGCCTGAGCATTTCGGGAATTTGAACTGTCCACCAGCAATAATGTATTCTGGGATCATGGTAAGTGCAAACTTTTATCCGTCGCATTAAAGCTTTGAATACGAGCAAGTCGTTCTAACCAAACCGTATAGTACTGTCTTCGATCGATGATCTCATCAGATATCCCTCTCAACCAAGGCTGTCTGAAGCCTATCAAGCTCATATGCCCACCTAATACACTCCTATCGCCTTCGCTAAAAGCAGCGACGGTGGGATCAAATGTGGAAACATCACAACGCATTGTCGATTTGATCTTCAAAGCCTTCCGTGCAGCTGCCGCATCACAAGGGACATGTAACAATCTCACATTTGGCTATGGTGGCACAGATCCAGTCACTGGCGAAGTAGTCAAAGGGTTCGGATACTATGAGACCATCGCTGGTGGATCCGGTGCTGGTGCGGACTGGGATGGTGAAAGTGGCGTGCACACACATATAACCAATACCCGCATTTCCGATCCTGAAATCTTTGAACGGCGCTACCCGGTCATTCTCCACGAGTTTTCTATCCGTAAAGGAAGTGGCGGTGCCGGTCGGCATCTTGGTGGCGATGGGTGTATCCGCGACATCGAGTTTCGATTACCTATGCAGGTCTCCATTCTATCTGAGAGACGTGTTATCCCTCCATACGGCATGGCAGGGGGTGAAGAAGGCCAGCGTGGAGTGAACCTATGGCTGAGAAAGTATCCCGATGGAACAAGCAGAACAATCAGCTTGGGTGGCAAGGCAACGGCACCCATGAATGCTGGCGATCATATCATCGTTCATACACCTGGAGGTGGTGGCTATGGAAGAGATCCACACAAGAAAGATGAGGTGTTCATGGATATTTTCAAGATTCATGAAAAGTTTTCCCCTGGATCGTCATTGCTCCGGACGCAGGGTAGTTTGGCTGAGAGGAATGCGACGGCCGTGAGCAACTGAGAGACACGAGGCAAATGACCAAATCCCAGCACTTGCAGGGGGGTATTGAGATTATAGATATGATATAGCTTTCGGTAGACTTCATAGTTCCCGCAATCAAATTACTATACTTCATGCATTAAGAGAGATGTTTCGGCTATCAAACTGCATTGCAAGAACATTGTTTCCAATAATGGACTCGAAGTTGACCGTGTGGTAGGCATAGTCAGTTAAACGAGTACACTGGCACTATGACTCGCTCTTTAAACCAACTTTCGGTGGCCCATTCTATGGTCCTGAGTGTAGCTAAATCCTGAGAGTTCATTGACCAGACTCGGCGCAACCGCGTAGCTTCAAGTAGCACCTATGGATAGTCCTGCGCCTGTATCCGATCAGGGTTCCCTGGGATCATATTCGGCAAAGGATTGTTCCATCTCGACCAACTACGGCCTTCCCAGACATCTTCTATGGGCTTCTCGCTCGCAAATTTCTCTGCATTTTGCTCGTTCCGTCTCCAGACTCTGGGTTACCCCTACTGTCAGCGCTATGTTTTGCATATTGCTTCGACTGAAATCAGTCGGTTCTTGTGGTTTATCGAAAACTCACCTCAGGATATTCTCGCCAATCAATTTCCTGATTTGCTTGTCCGTAGCTCCTCTTCGCATCACAGCCTCGATTAATTTAGGGTAATCCGCCAATGAGTGAATACCATTCGCCAGAGTGACTGTCCCATCAAAATCACCTCCAATCCCGACATGATCCCAACCTGCTAACTCGACGATGTGCATTATATGATCGACCACGGTCTCGACATCGGCACTTTCTGGGTGAGTTGCGTTCAAGAACCTCTTCACAAACATCACCATCAAAACCCCGCCGTTTGTCTTTAACCGCTTGATAACATCATCAGGGGCATTTCGGAAATTTTTTGCCAAGGCATAGCATGTACTATGACTGAAAATCACCGGCGATCGAGTGATATCCAATACTTGTCTCATGGTTTGATGTGACGTATGGGATAAATCTACCATCATACCTAGCCGGTTCATCTCATGGATAGCCAACGCTCCGAATGAGGACAGTCCGGCATCGGAGTCAATTCCCAGAGCAGTCACTGTAGCAGCTGCAGTCGCGTAGGCATTGTCGCTGTTATGAGTGACTGTGATATAACGCACTCCTAGATCCCACAATTGGCGAATAACTGCGATGGAGGAGCCGGTTTGGTGTAACCCTTCTGCACCCAGCATAGATGCTACTTTGCCTGCTTTGAAAGCTTCCACGGCAAAAGCAGCCGTGGGACAAAACTTCAGCTCGGGTGTTGCTTCTATAAAGCGCCGAGCGACATCAATTTGCTCAAGGGTATCGCGTACGATGTGACTTGGGTCGTCTACATGCTTCGTGTCGGGGCATTCCATGAACACAGACCAGAACTGCCCTCCAACCCGGCCTTGTCGCAGGCGCTTGAGATCAGTGTGACTAGCGAGTCCTAAGTACAGAATTTATCCGTCAGTAAATCACCAACGTGTGATGTTTCAACATTTCCTTTGAGTTCGCACCTTGCCGGAATGTGAAGCGGTCGCTATTGATCTTATTCTGAAGTTCGATCCGAAGGAGGTAAGGCAAATCATTATGGCCATCAATTAATGGTGTATCTTTCAAAATACTGGCTATCCGTGCTGGAATGTCTAGTGGAAGCTCCGACTCGGATTGAATGCGATAAAGGGCCCATAGCGAGGCAGCCAACAAAGTAATGACGGACAGTCCGACGGCTGCGCGGTGTTGTTCAAGGCAGTTCATTCAAGCGTTTTTTATTTTCTTTTTTTGTCTCTCAAAATAAAAGTAAAATGCGAAGCTCCTCCCAGTCAATCTGGCGATTTCTTTTCTGCTTGGGTTAGAACAGCAAACGATCGGCGTCGGTTTGTTACTGGATCCGTCGAGCTCGAAGCTGCAAGCCGATTGGTCTGGCAACCTTGCGATATAACCGATCGTAGCAAGATAAGCAATAGGCTTTACCTTTGTGATCAGTTGAATTAAAGTTGTATGTAAATACGAAAGCTGCCGTATGGTCTCGATAAGCATAATCTCGGCCTGCTGGACCTTGGGCCAAGGAGCCCTGGAATCCATAGTGTCCTCGCTTATTATCGTACAACTGGCGTTATATATCAAAGCATAATCTGTCGGAATTCGCAACTTCATTGTTACCTCCAGGGGCAAACACAAGGCCCCTTTTCACCTTGTCAAACATTAAAAGCACTCCAATGGAAACGAAATCAATCAAAGATGCCCCCACGGCCAACATCCACGAGCCCGGCATAAGCGTCGGTTCAGCCGAGATCTACATTGATCCAGTCAAAGAAAGAAGGATGATGAGGAAATTTGATGTAAGATGGCATCATATGCACATATGTGCATCGAGGCTCAAGTGCTTGCATTGTTAATGCAAATATAGATTTTTGCGATTGGAATGTTGGGCCTGTTTTACATGATGGCCAACTTGGACCGAAGCAATATCGGTAACGCGAATACAGCTGGGTTGCAAGAGGACTTGGGCCTAGTTGGGAATCAGTTTGGAACCGCTACAACTTTGCTGTATGAGCCCTTGGCCCTTTGATCTCGCTATGTTTGAATAATTGCCGACGATATATTTTACCAACAGGTACGCTACCTATGTCCCCTTTGAGGGACCGATTGCGGTGCTCCTTAAGATCATCGGGCCTAAGCCATTGTTATCAACGTGCGCCTTCTGCTGGGGGGTTACAACTCTTGGAATGGGTATGTAGATGGCTTTCAAAGCTCTATGTTCAGGTGTTAACCTTCTCAGCCTTCATTCAAAACTGGCAAGGGCTTTATGCCTGTCGGCTACTGATCGGCCTTTCCGAAGCTGGATTAATCCCCTGCATCAACGTATACATTGCGCTAGTATACAAGAAGAGCGAACGAGGAAAACGCTCTGCTTTAATCTTTGCATTTAGTGCCTTTTCGAGTGCGTTTGGTGGGCTTCTCGCTTTCGGGCTCACGCAGGTCCACGGACCTAACGGGTGGGAAGGCTGGCGCTGGCTGTTTGCCATTGAAGGTGCCATGACTTTGATTCTCGTGCCACTTTTCTTTTTCGTGTTCCCGAAACATCCCACCACTGCCTGGTTTCTAAGCGCTGAAGAAAAGAGCATGATTCAAGCCCGATACGACAATGATCCTCATTGGGGACAGGATGAAGAATTCAGTTGGGCTGAGTCTCTAAGTGCTCTAACCGATCCTAAATGGTTTGCATTTTGGATCTACCAGTTCAGCGTGGACGTCTCCCTTTATGGATTCACGACTTTCCTACCCAAAATCATTTCTGGGTTGGGACACTCCGGCGTACGAGCAAATCTGATGACAGTCCCAATTTACATGGTTGGCCTGGTGTGGTTCCTGCTGATTGCATATTGTTCGGACAGGGCCAATGTCAGAGGTCCCTTCCTCGCCGGGCCTCTGCTATGTCTGATCATCGGTTACTCGATTCTCATTTCGGTGGAGAACCTGAACGTCCGATTCTTCGCGTGTTTTGGTAAGTTTAGAATCCCATTTGACTCCTTTTGCCATTCTCGGACTCAATTCTTCTAGTTGTCGCGCTCGGCATTTATCCCACAACCGGTTTGTCGCTCATGTGGCTTCAAGACAACACGGCTCGCCACTTCAAACGGGCCACGATGGTCGGTATGACACTCTGCTTCGGAAACACTGCGGGTGTCGCTGTCGGGCAGATATTCACCACGCAATCTGCTCCGCGGTATATAAAGGGACTTTCGATCAGCCTGGGGCTTGCGGTGGTGGCATTGGTGATGGTCGCTTCGTTGATGACGGGGATGACGGTAGTGAACAGAAGAAGAGCAGAAAGAATTCGCCGGGCTGAAGAAGCAGGTGAGGTACTGGAAAGAAGACCGGAGAAAGGCGACTATGATGTGTTCTTCCGATACTCTCTGTGATTAGTTAGAGTTTCTGCCTTAGGTCGATAGGGCCTTGTTCCTTACCTGTTTGATGTTCCTTTCTCTTTCTCTTTCTCTCTCTCTCTCTCTCTGTCTATATAAGCTAGCTTAATACAAATGATTTCCTTTCCTTAATAGGAACGCGTGGGTACGTGTGGGTCGTTACTCCGCACTCTTATCTATTTCCCCGTAGATAACGCTCCGTTTTTGTTTCCGACAGCCTTCAGCTTCTCCATTTCATCATCGTGTCATCTACTCTCATGGCATCCAGACACGGCCCCTCAGTCAAGCGGCAAAGGCGCATCTATGTAGCGTGAGATGGCCCCGAATCCTATCTCTTCCTAGACTGACAAATTATGGTTTGGTATAGTTGCCGACGGTGTCACTCACAGAAGATCAAATGCTCGGGCACTCAACCCTGTCAATCATGCTGCATATCACAAAATCGCGATCAATGCGAGTTTCCTACACGTGACCGAAAGATATCGGTGTCCGAGACGTACGCTATCAATTCAATGTCTTCCGAATACGCCTCGAAGCTAATGAAATCGAGATCCTAGATACATCAAAAAGCTAGAGGGAGAAGTCAAAGCTTTGAGAGCCCAAAAGCAGCGGTCGAGAGCTTCATCTGCGCTAGATGAGACAAGCTGTCTTACTCAAGATCCAGTTCAGCCCTCCACTCAGACCCCAGATATTGATGTCTCTAATCCTCTTCTTGAATCGCCCACTGGGTTCGTTGCCGCCAGATCATCCTCACAGCCCATCTTTATCGGTGAGGCTTCCTGCGTTGCCTTTGGGGACACCTTGCTCCAATGCGTCGATAAAGATGCCGATCTCTCACCGTGGGCATCTCCGACATATTTCCAACACGATATTTTTCATCGGCTAATGCGCCCAGAGGTGGTGTTGCCTGACCGAATACAAGCTCGCTTATTGGTGGAGGTTGCCATTCGATTCATAGGTACCGACTACCATTTGATTCTGAAGAAAACCTTTTTCGACACGCTGGACCGAACGTGTGCCGGAGAGATCCCCAGGAACCCTGCATGGATGTGCAAATTTTTTGTACTGCTAGCGCTGGGTGAAATGTACTCGAACCGAAAACGAAGGACGGCCGATCAACGCGTACCGGGAACAGACTACTTCCTGCGTGCCGTTGGTCTATTGCAAGATCTATATGAAACCCCTTCAGTGGAACAGGTAGAAGTCATGGTTCTTTTTGTAAGTCGATACATTCCAAGGTTCTCCGCGCTCCAAAAATTGGCGGCTTTGCTGAAGGTAAACATAGTGCTTTTATTCAAACGCTCTAGGACGCGTCAAAACAGCGTACACCTATAGTGGTATTGCTCTGAGAATGGCCCTTGGACTGGGCCTTCATCAAAGTCTGCCCACAGATACCAAGCTATGCCCGGTGGATCGTGAACACCGAAAGCGCGTCTGGTGGACACTTTACACGCTCGACCGACTATGCAGCTCCAACCTCGGATACCCTTTGCTTATAAGTGATGCTGTGATTGATGTGGAGCTTCCAACAAATGAAGGCCTTATTCCAGCCGAGTTGGAGGAATTTACAGATCCCAGCCACCTAGTCGCGAACGTTAAGCTGGCGAGAATCACAGGGCAAATCCGTAAAGATGCCTTTCCACTTCAGGCCGTCGTCCGCATCACTAATGAGCTTCATTCTAGTTAATGACATATATTGCCTCGCACAAAGATCTACAGAAACCTTTGTACAAAGGGTGCATCGAATTCTTCTGAGTCTGCGAAAATGGAATGAAGAACTCCCATCAATGCTACAACTACGCCAAGAGCATCTGCCTCGACACATTTCCAGTCTTCATCTTCATTATAATCAATGTGTGATTTCGACAACCCGTCCGATTCTATTATATCTTTTCAAGAATCGCTTTTCACTGAGCGCTACATCTGCCGAAGCCCCGCCCAGGGTCTTTTCCCCTACTACCCTCGCCCTGGCGGAAAGCTGTGTGCAGGCCGCACGGGCATCGAATTCCATCCTATCAAAGCTGTTTGTTGAAGGATCTCTAGCGTCATTTGGATACTTTGATGCGCACTATCTCTTCTCCTCCACTCTCATCTTGGTCATGTCTGCAGTCATGGATCCAAACGTGGGCATGTCAGATGCCGTCTCATATGCTTTCACTATACTCCGAGCTATGAAGGAAGATGGCAATCTTCCTAGCTTTGACTACTATGAGATCCTACAACGTACCCGAGCAAGTATTGGTAAGATGAGAGAAGGCAACGAAGCAAGCTCCCGTGTATCCGCCGTTCCCAATGGAAGCACAACGCCACAGGAACAACTGGTTCACGATGCCGATGGATCGGCCCTAGGCTTTGCGGACGGAGTTCCCCTAGATCATCCTCTTATAGATAGATTTCTGGCAGATAAAACCTTTGTATGGCCAGACGGAATGATCCCCCACGATGACTCTTTAAGAGACCTGGCGTGCGAGCTAGGAGATGAGTTTTTGTTTGGTCCGGCCTGATTTTGTCAACTTCAAGAAGGGTATTATTTTCAGTCCTTCTTCTACCCGTGACAGGTGATAAATTTTCGTTACTCATGAATATTCGAACTTGATAAGACTATCTCAAGATATCGGTGGCCCATCCGAAGGTAATCTCGATCTCTCGGTAGGAACGCCGAACTCGGGCAATGTACCCGGCCTGATCTATCTTAGGCGTAGGCTTATCATATCTCCAAATGCGTTTATTTGACCCGATTGATGTCTGAGCCTGCCGGATTACTGGAGTCGCCGGCTTAACTTGATCAGCCCGATTAATCAAAGCACTCAAGTGCTCAAGAGTCTATGTGGATTGTCCAATCTATGCACATATAATATTCGCCTTGGCTAATATCACCTTCCACGTATGAACTATATCGAATTCCATGATGGCTTCTGCGGTTGTCACTCTGCTTGGGCAGCTCATGCAAATCCCATCTATCAGCAACGAGGAACACGACATCGGTTTGTTTCTTGAACAGCATCTCCAGGGCTTAGGCTATACGGTTGAACGTATTCCAATCAGTCCGGATAGTCGCCGTTGCAATGTCTACGCCTACTTAGGCTCATCGCGCAAAACACGAATTTGTCTCACATCTCACATGGACACCGTTCCTCCGCACATCCCTATGAGATTGACGCCAAATACAATTTACGGACGGGGCTCATGCGATGATAAGGGCCCATTGGCCGCTCAAATTATTGCACTGGAAGAGCTACGTGTTGAAGACCGTATCCAGCCTAGTGATGTATCACTCCTTTTCGTCGTGGGAGAGGAAAAGGGTGGACCGGGAATGATCGCGGCCAACTCAATGAACCTGTCATGGGAGGCTGTCATATTTGGCGAGCCGACGGAAGGAAAACTCGCAGTGGGACATAAAGGGCATTACGTTTTCGAGCTCACAAGTGAGGGAGTTCCAGCGCACTCAGGCTATCCGCAGCGAGGGCGGAGCGCAATCTCCGTAATGACCGCTGTTCTGGCAGCGCTTGAGCGAACAACGTACCCATCATCAGACATAATTGGACCTTCCACCTTTCATTGTGGTCAAATCACAGGGGGCGTCGGATACAATATCCTTGCGGCGGAATGCACGGCTCTATGTGCGGTTCGAGTTGCAAGCGACTTGCCCGGGATTGAGCGATTGGTGGAAGCTATCGTTTCAGAGCATGAATATGTCCGCCTGAATAAGAAATTCATGTACCCAGAGCTGTACTTAGATCACGACGTACCGGGTATGGGCACGATGCCTGTCGCATTCGGGACTGACGCTCCGCGGTTGAAGGGAGAACATAAGAAGTACCTCTATGGACCGGGTTCTATCTTGGTTGCTCACGGAGATAACGAGAGTATCGGAATTGGGGAGCTTATTGAGAGTGTTCAGGTGTACAAGCGGATTGTGGAGCACTGTCTTCATGGATGATATGAGTAAAAGGCGTATGCCGGAAGGTCCACGCGTTGCCGATATATGAAGTCGGCAACAGGAGCATCTTGCCGAGATGAGATAAGATTCAACCCCCTCGATTGGGATAAATTATTTCTCTATACCACTCTTTTTTTGTCTTCGGAAATTCAAAATCACAAAACGTTGACTTTTTCTTCTTTTTTTTTTTTGAAATGACTCATTCGTCAATTCTCAGCGATCTACCAGTCCTTCCGTTGGCCGAGTCATTTGCGTTGACGGAGGCCTACAATCTCGATACATTCCCGAAAAAGGTCAATCTTGGCCAAGGGGTCTACCGCGATGAAGAATGCCAGCCTTGGATTTTGCCCAGTGTTCGAAGTGTAGGTATAGCCAATAAAATTTGCTGGGCGCCATCTAACAGTATTATTACAGGCAGAGGAGTTCCTGCACAGGCAACATCTCAATCACGAATATCTTCCAATACCAGGAGCCGCTGAATTCACCAAAGAGGCTCGAAACTTGCTTTTCAGTCCTCAATTGGCCCAGAACGAAAATATAACCAGCGTACAAACAGTCGCTGGAACAGGCGCGAACCACCTTGCTGCGCTATTCTGTGCTCGCTATCTGCGCCCCAAACATGTATTTATCTCCGATCCCACTTGGGACAATCATCATCTTATCTGGGAGACTGCTGGGCCGGATATCAAGCGCAAGCTTTATCCCTATTATGACCCCTTAACGCGGTCACTCAACTTCGACGGCATGATCGCCGAGCTAGAAAACTCCGCAGAAGAGAACGACGTCGTGATCTTACACGCTTGTGCCCATAACCCAACAGGCATTGACCCGACACATACGCAATGGGAGAAAATCGCGGACATTGTTGCAAAAAAACGTCTCTTTGTGGTTTTTGATAGTGCATATCAAGGTTTTGCGTCAGGCGATCTGGATGCTGACGCCTGGGCTATTCGATACTTCTACTCGAGATTTTTCGAAGGCGCCTCCTTACCAATATCGGCCACCCCGTCAGGCATGATTGTCTGCCAGTCTTTTTCGAAGAATTTTGGACTGTACGGTGAGCGAATCGGAGCATTACATCTTGTCACCCCGCCTTCCGTTTCACCTCGGGGTGCATATACACACCTAGTTCGACTGATTCGAGCGGAGATATCCTGCCCTTCTCTTTTTGGCGAGCGTTGTGTGCACATTATCCTGACAGACCCGGAGCTTCGCTCGAAGTGGGAAGAAGATGTGAAAACCATGGCGTCGCGAATCCAGCGGGTGAGGATGTCATTAAAGTTAGAATTGGAGAATATCGGTGCGCAAGGTAACTGGGATCACATCGAGCGCCAAATTGGAATGTTCAGTTATACCGGTTTGTCGAAGACCCAGGTCCGCCGACTGAAAGATGTTCATCATGTCTACATGTTGGAGAATGGGCGAATGAGCTTGAGCGGATTGAATGGAAAAAACGTGGCATATGTAGCCCGCGCAATCAAGGATGTGGTCGATCGGGATTAGTGTATGGCCTTGAAACACTACCAAAATACCAAGAAAAGTTGAGCCCCAGTTGAACCCCGGTACACTTCCAATTTTTTAATTCCGAGACCTCACAATTTGAATGCGATCTGGTCGACAGCCTTTTTCAGCTGTTCTGCTTCATAGACCACCTTTGAGACGATATCATCCGAGATGCCACCTAAAGGAAACTTCTGGTGAACCAAGCCGATTCTGGTCTTAAGGAAATTCTGTGAATGCTTCACGATTTGGTCATAGAAAGCAGGCTCAAACTCCTTCCAAATGGCGAGGATACCCTTCAGCTCCGGCATATATTTGTCGGCATATTCAAATTCCTTTTGCAAGGCAGCCCGTGCTGCATCAAAATGAGGACGAAGCTCGGGATAGTTCAAATAATTAAAAACGCCAACGGACTGTTTTGCGCCAATTCGCACCCTGACAAATATTTATGTCCGAAAAATCTCAAAAGAACTCACTCTCTGCACAATGCCAATGATATTTTTGGCTGGATCCTCATTGGTGTCAAGGGTGACGCCGGCAGCTATACTCTTAAGCGCCTTGTTGAAAACTTGCATTGAGATGGGATCCTTTCCTGTCCGAATGTTCATTTTAATCCTGTTCATGTCTGCAATGAAGTACGACATTCCTGTGCGATAGGAGTAGGAGCCTAAAACCTCAAAGACATAAGTGGTCCATGTAATGCAGCAACACGATTTAAAAGCCCTCCCGGCACTTGTACTCTTTAGGCAATAATAGGCTAGATCGTGGCTTTTGCTATCTCTCAGATGAGCTTCAAGCTAGCTCTGCCTAGCTTCCAGTCTCAAGTAATTTGACCATCAGGACCCGGGTTGGCACTACTGGGCGGACGAGCAAAAGGATTAGATACACGCGCTTGCTGGACTTTGTCCGGAAGCATAGATAAGCTCCAGTAATATAGAGAGTGTCCTATAGCAATTGAAGCTCAGAAGGTGATTTTTTTTTCTTCCTGAGATTTGTGGGGACTGATGCAATTCAGTTGGCTTTTGTGGATCAGGCCTGCTGACGGTAGTAGCCCCACTATGTTTTTATAACCCTAATATAATTTATTTAGATTCTCAAACTCTAATAAGCTATTATATTTACTATAATTTATTTAATTTATATATTAATTTTAATAAATATTCTAGATAAATACAAATTTCCATACATATAAGATTGCAAAATATGCTACAAACGTACTGTATCAAAAAACTTAGCATATTTGTAGTGTTTGTTACCCAACTTAGGTCCAAGGTTTGGCCCCAAAACCCAACCCAAAGCTGGGTTGGGTTAGGTTGGGTCCGGGTCCAATTGGGTCGTGGAGAAGTCTAAGGACTAGCACGGCAATCTAAACACCGTCTTCCTCAAGGCTACGCTACCCAGCCCCTAAGTGAATATAAGAGGAAGCGGACAAAATGTGTTATTAAGCTTATCTTTCAATGCGGGGTGCGGGGGTTGGTGTACGTACGCAGATGGGTTAGGTGTTACCTAGGTAGATAGTTGCAGACATTCAAGCTACTCTGCAGCCTGTAATTGGTACGTAACTGACATTATGCCTCATCCTTGGTGGATACCATGTAGGAGAGGAATCTTAGATCCCAGTGCGAGCCAGTACATCATTGAGGGCTATGACGTCGAACTACCCCAGCCGTTGCAGTGCTAATAATCTGCATGTGGACGATGTACCGGCCTCACCCCGCCGATTCCGTACTTTGTGGGGGCGGAGCATGCCCAGTAATGACAGCGGCTATTTGAGTCCGAACACTCCCAGTGCAGGTACTCACAATGCCCGCTTCCTGTCACTGGTCATTTTGAGCTATGATTATGGCGAAAGAAACTACGCTTATTCTCTTCCCTCTCTTATTTTGTGGTTGGGTGGCTTGGAAACTCGTGCAACTTGCTCGCTCTGCCCGCCGCTCCCCATCGCTTCCTCCTGGACCCCCAACACTACCATTCCTAGGTGAACAACCCATCCTGAATATGTGGTAGTCCATATTAACGAGCGGTAAAGGCAACTTACACCAATTACCAGCCCAGAAGGCATTCTTGAAGTATATATGGACGCGGCGCGAATCATCTTTCATGGTGCACCGCTGATTTAATGCAGATTCCAGGAGTGGTCACGATTGTATGGCCCCATTATCTCACTAAAGACCGGGCCTGCAGACCTTGTTATCCTAAACACGGCAAAAGATGTCAGAGAGTGAATAAATCCACAGTTTGTTCTACACTGGGAATGCCGACTGACGATTGCTTATAGATTATTCGACAAACGAGGCGCAATATATTCCAGCCGGCCTCCAAATCACATAGGGAGCGAACTCATTACACGCGATGATGTGCACTTACTCCTCATGCCGTATGGACAAGCATGGCGGAATCAGAGGAAAATATATCAAGCCATTCTCAGCATCACGGCGGTGCGCGCTCTCGCACCATTGCAGGACGCTGAGTCTACGTTGACCGTGTATCAACTCGCACAATCTCCTGAACGTTACTACGACCATATTAGGAGGTACTCCACCGCGGTGATCCTGTCTTCAGTTTTTGGTATCCGCGGGCCCGAGTTCAACCACCCCAATATCACGCGCCTTTACCATGTCCAGGACCAATTCACCGCCATCCTGGAGACAGGGGCAACGCCCCCCGTTGACGTATTTCCCTTCCTCAAACGTCTGCCTGACTTCGTATCCCCCTGGCGCCGTTGGGCCCGCCGAATTCGAGCTGAGCAGCGACAGCTTTACTTTGAGCTGCTGCAGGAGGTCAAGATTCGGCGGGAACGAGGGATCAAGGTGAACTGGTTTATAAGCCAATTGCTAGACGAGAAAGCGAAGTACGAATTGGACGACGAGCATATTGCATATATTGGTGGTGTGCTGATGGAAGGTGGTTCGGACACTACCGCGTCTACGCTACTTTCGTTTTTACTGGCCATGGTCAAGTATCCTAAGGTGTTCCGAAAGGCCCAGGAAGAGGTTGACCGTGTATGCGGGACGAAAGAATCCCCTACATTTGAGCTTCTCGCACAGTTACCTTATGTGAAACACTGTGTTTCTGAAGTAGGCTTTCCTTGCTTTTTGCTGTGAAAGACTCGTCCACTGACATGGATTCTCGCAGGTCCTTCGCTGGAGGCCGGTTGCAGCAGGCGGTATTCCACATGTGCTGATCCAAGGTACATCTTCGTTCCCTAGAGACTTCAGTTAACTGCTAATGATTACAGATGACGAATACAAAGGGTACAAATTTCCTACAGGCACCACATTTGTGGCTAATGCATGGTATGCAATGAACTGTTCATGTGCCTTGCACCTCAGCAGGCTGACCAACGCATCTAGGGCAATCCACCATGATCCGGAGCTCTACGACTGCCCAGAAAGCTTCATCCCAGAGCGCTACGAGGACAATCCTCTAGGCTTCAAACCTGATATCGAGGAAGTGACGGATGGCATCCGGAAGACATACGGGTTTGGAGCAGGTAGACGGATTTGTCCTGGCTCCCATCTTGCTGAAAATTCCCTGGTAGGTAACAAATTCTCTCATTCCATTCTATCCTGTACTACTATCGTAGAAATCAAGGAAAATGTATCTAATGCATCACAGCATATTAACGTGGCGAAAATCCTCTGGGCCTTCGATATTCGCGCCGGAACGGATCCCAGCACGGGACGCCAGCTGCAAGGCGAAGAGGTTAATGTTGACATAGCAACGCAGTGGACAGATGGATTTCTGATTGCGCCGAAGCCATTCCCGATGGTTATGTCGTTGCGCTCGGAAAAGCACCGTGAGGTGTTGAACAGGGAGCTTGATGAGGCTCAGAAGGTTTTTCAGAGATATCAAGATTAGCGCCTTGAATGACAGGGGATATGTCCAGACAGCCAGATACGTCCAAGAGCAGGCACACGTACTACCCGGAGAGAATTTTCCTCCGGTCTTCCATTCAGACCTCACAGGGCTTACGAGTTCTATCTCGACAGCTGTCGATGGGTATAGAAACGATTAAATTGTACGTATCCGCGGTTTTATTCGCCAGATTCAGGTTATGCTTTTCTTTCATATATATCTTATACACAGCGATATCGCTGTTAGACTATTAAGTTCTGGGCAGGCGCACGAACAAGGCTACACGCCTCGAAGACGTTACCATAGACACTGTAGCTATTGGGGTTCTAGAGAAGGCGAAGAGGACGGGAACCAGTCCATTATGGTAATCCATGTAAAATAAACTGGTTGCGGGTCTATGAGGGGTGGTTCTTGCTAAAAAGGGTTCGAATCTTGTGGTTGAACCTGGGGCGACAGCACGGTGTCCGGCATCTGACAATCTGATGGCCGAGTGCATATCTCGCTGTCACAATAGGTCTCGTATGCACTAAAACCAACCCACCTGGTTAGTTCAAGCAATCGGAATGTTAGCCACTACAAAGAACCACGAGTTCTTTTTCATGCTGCCACCGCCCGAACTGCGCTTGCTGGGCTCATTATGAACCTTACAATTACAACACGAGGTGTACCAGACCCCCTCGTGTCTTCTCTCCCACGAGCTGGTTTCCTGTCTCTAAAGCCGCTGACTAAACATCAACACGGCAGCTGGAGTCTTTCCGAAGCGCCGAAACATGCACTCTATCCGGTGTGTAGACGAATGCCGTGGCTTGCCGTGCCCACTGCGACGACATTCATTGGTGCGGAAATTGAACTTCAATTTGTGGCATTTAATAATTGGGCATACATCCGGGGAATAACCTTTCTTCCTCGCTGCCTTTCCCCAGCAATCAGGCGCGGGGGCGGGGGCGGTGGCTGAGAAAGAGTCTCGGCCTACTCCGTACTGTATGTACCGTATCTGCCTGAACACTATGAAATGTGAAATGGCTGAGTTCAACCCCACAAAGGGCGCCAAGTTTGGTCAATATGGGGTTGCGAGGATTGGAAAAGGGAAAAGGGAAAAGAGAAGGGAGGGAGGTGGACACTCACCCTCAACTACTCCCTTCACCTTCACTCACATCTTCCCCATCTTCATCCCCTTCCCTACGGTCAAATTACGTCCATTACGTTCAACCCCGGTCCATTTACTGATGGACTGCGTCGAAGCCGCCCTGGACAAGACCTTCACTCCACAACTGCACCCCGCACAAGATAACCCGGCCCGTACGACTCCACGCGAGACATGGAAGGGCCATCGCGCCTGTTTCGAATGTAGACGGCATGTGCTGATCTGTGTGATTCTGTGTGATGCCCCCAATACTGACGTATATTCTTTCTCTTCCTACAGAAAGAAGACAAAATGTGAGCCTCTATAAACTGTATGCCGCCATCACCCATGCACGATCGTACTAACCAGCTTATCTAATTAGGCGATATGAGGCAGCCCACTTGCGGGCTTTGCGAGAGGACTGGCGGATCCTGCACCTTTCCCACCAGAAGAAAGACACCCGACGTGCGTCGGCTATCAGCCACTCGCCAGAATAAACCCAGAGTTGATTCAGGGAAGCTTGGTAATGCCTTAGCGCCCCTGACACATGCTTAAGGATCTTCAACATTAATGCTTACGCCAGAACGCCTCGTTGACTTGCTCGAGTCACGACTCGGCGATAGACAGGATGTTGACATGCTGGCGTGGCGGCTGTCTGGGATGGACCATTCGACTGTTGGTTCCAGCGACAGTGAATTTCGTACATTGACCTCGCTCAATCATAGGGAGCGAGCTCAACAGGCGCGGGAAGACAACGCCGACGAAGCCGTTTTCTTGACGAGAACCCCAACTAGTGCCTTGAGTAATCACATCACTGACGACTGGGTCTCCCGGGCCTCACCCCTTCACTCCTTGAGAGATGGTGACGGAGACGTAGACGCGGGTTGTGGGTGGTGGTTGGCCGTTCCGGAAAACGTCCTTACTGAGCTTGTTCATCTGTTTTTTGACAAGATCCAAGGCTGGCTTCCGCTTCTCCACCAACCGCGGTTCTTCGATCATTATGTGAAGAATTGCGTTTTCGATAAACGAAGCGCACCATCCTTTTCAAACACTGAGTCACTCCTACTTTGCGGCATGTTTGCCCTCGCTGCCCGACACTCGTCAAACCCTTATTTCCAGGACATTCCAGCACCAGACCGGGGACAGCGATTCGCAGACGACGCAAACAAGTATTACGAGATGGCTCGTACGTCCGAACAGAGCCCAATGCTTGGGTACCTTCAAGGCTGTATCTTGCTCGCCTTCTATCAGTACACTTCCGGGCCTTCCCATCGCGCCTGGATCCTTGCTGGTGACTGCGTTCGTCTTGCCTACGATTTGAATTTGTGCAACATGGACGAGCAGCAAGACGACTGCCGGAAGCCAACAGAATGGTCCATTTTAGAGGAACAACGACGAGCGTTTTGGCTGGTTTGGGAAGTTGATACGTTTGGCTCCGTCATGTCGAGACGTCCATGCTCTATCAACCGCTCAATGATAGCCGTACGGCTGCCTGTTAATGACGCAGCCTGGTTCGCCGACAACCCGGTCAAGTCTCCCATTATTGATCCAAGGCCGTCTGCAGTATGGGAGATACTACTCGATTCGCCGAACCAAGGCGATCGAGCATGGTACCTCGTTGCCAATTTCCTCATGACCATTGCGAGCGAATTCGCTGCCAGTCGACACATTTGTACGCGCGATAAGGACGAGCTCATTGATGCCATCACATGCTACTCTCTCGTCATTTCGCAGAGATTCAGCCTGGAAAGCCTCGATCTCTCTGGTCACTCCGACGACGCTGCAAAGCACAACTGGGTGATTGGCATGCACCTGTTAGTTGCGTGTGGCCGCGCTACGATACGGGCCAGTTTCGCAACTCAACGCCCCGAGATGCTGAGCTTCTCACGACACTTGTCTCGAATCTTATACCAATGGCAACCCGAGTACATCCGTTTGAGCCACCCGTTTCTTGCATGCTGCTTGCTATCAGACCTGGCATACCCCTCAGAAGAAACAGTGCTGGCCCCAGGTACGCTGTCCCACAGCACCGACATGGTGAGGCTGGTGTTATTACAGTATGCTTCAGTCTGGAAGCTTGCTTCTGTTTTATTAGGTATCTTCGCTTCCCGCAGATTGGTGAGGGGGTATACTAAGGCCTAAAATTGATAGATCTAAGAGGAATGTTGATCCATGGCGACCGTCCTTCGGCAGAGATCTCGTTCGAAAAGCGCTTTGCTCTATACTTCCCTCCTTGGGCACACCCTAGGTCCTCCAATACCCCTAACGTTAGCCGGTCTGGCTTAATACTAGGGATCACCGGTGAGAAAATGGGAGAGGATAATAGGGGTAGCGAAGACAACAACCCCACCCCTATTCCAGGACTAAAAAAGCTCACGCAACCCGGGGCAGAGTTAGGGCATATAGTGCCTGGAATGGTCGAGCTCGCCAGTATATCTAGTAGAGAATTGTCCAAGTTCTTAGACTTTGATGGCCGAAATGAGTGGAATTCACGAGACTCGCTCGATTACGTCTTTGAGAACAATGAGCAGTTGAACTATGTACAGTTACAGGGGTTAAGAAGTGGCGGGTATGCTGACGAACTACAACATGCGTAGCCTAATATGGCATGCGGCAGACTTGTTCAATCGCTTTTGTCCGTATTAGTCTTGCATATCATTACTTTTTTGGTAAAAATAATAATAGACTTATTTTTCCAAACTATCAACAGCAAACATGTCAGTCAATACCCCATTAGGCTTGATTGTCACATGCCACAGGCTACGTTTAAACGACAGCCGCACGATCAACCGTTCTCAGGTACCTTGCTGTTGTTGTGATAATGGTCTTGTAGACAGTTAAGATTCTTTTGTTGTGTGATTGCCGAGCTGTACACCACGGGTTATATCCGATTTTCTTCATATCCCGGCCATAGTAGAGTAACGAAGAGATACCCAGCTTCGTCTGTGGCGTGGACTCCTTTCAAGAGAGCAATCTTGAACAAAAACCATACAATCAAGTACAAGTATGCAGATAAGCCGGGTCAGTAAACACTCAAACTTTGACCGACTCAAAGCACCTTTCCGCTCAAACTTGGTCATGGCTATCGGCTAAGATGGAACGTGTTCTTCGTGCTTCACGCTCGTCTCTTTGGGGCCATGACTGTCGACTGACTTTTCCATATCTGTATGGCCTTGTACATTGTATAATCCAGCATCCATGGGGGCATCGATGCGGGAATCAAAGTCAGCTCCCTGTTCCTTTATGAAACAAGATGCTGTGGCTGATAAGTATGTATTTTGATATGGGACATTGGAAGACTCACATATCACTAAGACAGCACAAAACGATGCTGAAATAATCCAGGCGTTTCTAAAGGCGGACAAGTACGCCTCTTTCATCGCTACCACTGCCGCCTGAGCAATCTCTGGGGTGACCCCTGGCACCGCGGCGACAGCGTTCTTGTTTTGCGTAGCCAGAGCGTTGATCAGTTCAGGCAAAGATGAGGAGGGCAGTCCCAGTGAGAGAGCCGCCGCACCGACTTTCTTAGGTAGCTCCTTACCCAAGGTGTCGTTCAGAACGGCATTGTTGATGGCTAGGCCAACTGCACCTCCCAAACTCCTGACTGCAGTCATCAACGCCGATGCTAAGGTGATTAACTCTGGGGAAGCCGTTAACTGAGCAGAGACCATTGAGAGTGGCACAATAGAAACGAGACCAATGCCGGACAGAAGTGGGAATATGTAAAAGGCATAGCGGGGAGTGTCTATCTTGACCGTTGCCAGAACAATAAAGAACAACAGAAGGAAAACACCACCCAGAATGAGGGGCGGCCGAATTGTCTTGCGCTTCGACGACCACAGCCCGAACACTGGGGCGAGAACCAGACCTGTACAAAACATGATGGTAAAGTTGGCACCAGCTGAGAGAATGTTCACGTCATAAATAAGCATAATTTCAAAGGCGAAGTAGGAGTTGGCCGAGAAGAAGGCAAGGCCTTCGACGAAAATGACAAGAAGGGAGACGGCGAAGTTCCTATTATCCCAGAGGTCATGGTGAAGTATACCATCCTTCTTGAAGCGCCACTCGTAAACGGCGAAGAGAATCATGGCGACGACGCCGATAATGAATGGACCAAGGATGTTCGCACTGCTCCAGGAATATGGGTTTTTGGACCACGACAGCGCCATGGAAAATAGGGCGAGCCCCGGGGCAAAAAGGAAGTATCCAACCCAGTCCAGACGTTTGAGCTTTTCAGACGTGCTGAGGGATATTTGAAGTTCTCGGGGGGGAGGATTGTAGCCGATAAGACACCCTATGATCGCGATTGCGTAGAGACCAGTCTCAATATACCAGTATATACGGTAGTGGGTGAGGTTGCCGTGTTGGAGCATTCCTCCACCCATTAATAACCCAATAATTGCTCCCAGGCTGGCTGATGCCATGGCAGACGCTTGACCCATGGGCCGGTATTGTCGGGGCAGAACTTCCGACAAAACAGCCAGGATAACTGACTGGCATCCAAAGTTGAGGCCGAGAATGGCAAAGCCGGCGATGATAGTGCTAGAGTTCTGGGCCCGGGACACAATTATGGATCCGACCACACCGGTAAGAGAGAAGCCGATGAGGATAGGTTTCCGGCCCCAGTAGTCAGCGGCCTGGCTGATGGGCGGGTTCAGAGCAACTGTCATGATGGCGATGCAAGAGGAGTACCAGACGGTCTTGTTTGTACCACCGACGACTTGGGCCATTGACTGTGCCAAGAAGCCTGCCCCGATGAGAGAGATGAACTGTGCCATGTAGATGACATTGATGGCCTAGATGGAGGTATGGTCAGTCTGAAGCTGATCGCTGCGGGTAGAGGGTAGAGGGTAGACCAACCACAAGACATATGATTGTCTTTGAGTTAACATGGGTCGTCGGTTGCTCTGGCGCCGAGGGCGCAATGGCAGATTGTGAAGCCATGTAGGGTGGATTGAGACCCGAGTTGAATGCTACGGGAAAAACGGTTGTTTTGCAACTTGGGCGCCAGCAGTGCGAAACCTGGACGCCTTTACTTTTATATATAAGTATAACAAGTAAAGGCAACGCCACAGATAAAGGAAGACACGACTTCCACTATACCCCGGTTTCCCCGTATTTCAGGGTTTCGCCCCACATGGTGAATTGCTTGGATTTGACGCTTGAGACATGTTCTCCTTTAGACTTCCAAACCGCTGAGGAGCATAAAAAACACGGCCTAACACGGTGACCGGTTTGACCGTGTAACGGTCACCGCGATTGCGACGCAACCCCCTGCCACCCCGCCATCCCGCCACCCCCAGCGAGTTGAGACTAAGAGGGTCATGGGTCATACTCAGTATAACTACCGGTAGCAATTCTTCTAAAGCTGATGGAACCAATGTGGTAATAAGTTAAGAAGACATCTATTACCGCCAGAATCAGCGGCTCCCGCCACGTACAACGTCCACTACAAGCATCTCACCTGCTCTGTCTCAATCTTTAGTCTACACCTTGCCATATCCTCATCCCTCTTCCTCATATCCCCAACATTCTGAATTTGTCTCACAATGTCCGCAAATCGGCCGGAATACCAGACGTCCACGGCGGATGTTGAAGGATACACCCGTACCAAGCACCTTTACATCCCCATGCGCGATGGCATCGAGCTCTGCGCTAATTTATTCCTACCTTTCTCTGCATCCAAGGAGGGGAAGAAGGTACCAGTAATCTGCAGCTTGGGACCCTATGGGAAGGATATTCATGCCGCTACTTTTGGACTGCCGCGTACGCCAATCTACGCTGAGATGTATAAGAGCATCAAGCCATTGGGTCCTGATGCTGCATTCGAGCTATGCGATCCCGCCATTTGGGTAAGTCGGCTGAGCTTGTTTTCGCGACCGCTGCTGTGAGGCTGATATCAGGCATGGGATACAGTGTCGAGAGTTCGGCTATGCGCTTCTTCGCGTTGACGCGCGCGGCATCGGGGGTAGCCAAGGAAGGCTGGACCCATTTGGTCTCGAGCGGTCTGTTGCTATGCAGGCAGATGCGGAAGGGCAAGGTAGGTGCATTTCGTTCCCTTTCATTTCGAGCCGTGAGGTAACAAGTTCCAGATCTCTACGACGTGACTGAATGGGCTGCTATTCAGCCGTGGTGCACGGGCAAAGTCGCCTTCAGCGGCATCAGTTACTATGGCATGGTTGGATACTGGGCAGCCATGCAAAAGCCCCCGCATCTGACATGTGTCATGTCTTATGAGTCGGCGTGTAACGTGTATCACGCTACCAGAAAAGGGGGCATTTACAGCGATAATTTCCAATCGCACTGGTTTAACAACGTTGTTCTCCCCTATCAGGCTGGGAAGCAGGATGAATCTTTGAGCGACCGGGAGCTGGCAGCCGGCCGGGTTGATTTCCCGAAGCTGCTCGCCACGACCGAGTACCCGAACGAAGGAGTCTGGGGTGTCCTTGGCCGAGTCCGCAAGCTTTCTGACATTGAAGTGCCTTTCTACTCGGCTGGGAACTGGACAGACCCTGAGATCCACTTACCGGGGAATATTCGGGCCTTTAACGGTATCTCGTCCAAGTATAAGTGGTTGGAAATGCATACCGGCAACCATCTCGCTGCGTTCTACGAGCCGGCGCACATTGAACTGCAGAGGAAGTTCCTCGACCACTTCCTCTTTGATAAGGAGGATAACGGAATGCTTACTGTCCCTCGTCTCAGACTTCTGCAGCACCATGGCAAAGAGACGTTTTACAGAGAGACTGAGACTGCATTTCCCCCCACAGGACGCCGAAGACGTCGCCTTCTACCTCACCCCGGACAAAAAGCTCTCTCTAACTAGCCCCGCTCATGCAGAGCGCATCGCATTCAAAACCCAGGGCTATAATTCCACGTCTAGAAACCTCCATTTCGTACTCGACTCCACCTTCATCCAATCCTTCGAGATCCTCGGTTCCCCCTATCTCGAGCTGGAAGTCAGCACAGAGGCCGATGATCTAGATCTATTCGTCTATCTTCGCGCCGTGGACTCAAACAGCGAAACCATCATCCTCTCTGGCAACCATGGCGAACCTATGGACAACTTTGCGCGGGGTTACTTCCGTCTCTCGCACCGTGAAGAAGTTGCGCTGAACTTCGTAAAGGAGAAAGTCATCTGTCAGGCCAATGTTCCCAGATCTAAGGTTGTCCGAGGGGACGTCTACAAGATCCTCCTGCCCTTGTACCCGGCTGCATTCCTCTTCGATAGAGGACAGTCACTGAGCCTCGAAATCGGGCCTGTGAATACTCCAAGTACCATACCTCCGATGCGACATGAGGGCGGCGATCGCACTACTGATAGATTTGGAGGCGAGAATGTTCTTTACTCTCATGGCAGACTGGTTCTTCCGAGAGTGAGACGGTGATTGGATAATAAGTGCTCATATTGTATGTAGTAGACTTTCATGCAAATCAAGTGTCAATCATGTACGGAGATACCACATGCTTCAATCACTCAGTCAATCAATCAAATTTCTATTAACATGTTGGAGCCTAACTAGTATCGTAAGGGCTATGCAGGTGCTTCTTTCCAGTCGAAGCAAGAACATGTATCCGTACGCCTAATCATGCTCTAGTATAAAAAGTGAGGCTGGTTCTTAAAGAGTGGAAGCACTAGCCCCTTATATATAAGCCAACCCTATAAAACACGTAGTACAAATGAAAATTTAGTGCTAGCAATGCATTGAATACAAAAATGAGCGCGTGGATGCACCTCCACCTCTCTAATGTCCTCTCCTTCTCACGAGATATGTACACAACTCCGCATTAAGATCCCAGCTAATATATACTGCTCTAAGATTAAACCCCGTTCTTCGATATCCGCACTCTTCCTTGATTAGGTGTTATGTTAATCTCCGGCCATTTAGAGCTTTAGCTTAGTCCGGCAGCGTGTATTCGAATAGCTTATCGAGGTTATCTCCACCCTCGACGGTGTTAGCAAGCATTATTGAATGCCTAGCGTCGTCGGGACTCTGCTCTATAACCTCACGGTCTCTAGTTTCACTGTAGAATTCTTCTTACTTGGTATATTAAAATTGAGCATAGGCCGGTTTAGTGTATGAATTCAGCAACGTAGCGGGTTGCTAGCGGGTTACAAACAATGCTGTTATAATTAGACAGTTTAAATAGCCCTATTGCTTTATACAAGTACTATTTAGCTCCTTCTAGCTATACTTTTATCACTCGTTACTCTCATTACGTGACCGCACGTTAGCACGATGCAGGAAACGGCTGTAAGGGCAATGTGACCAAAGATATACCCCAAAGACGCCTCCACGAGGAGTGGATGAAGGAGTATGTGGTGACTCCAGATCTACCCTAGAGGAGTAGATCCGCGGGTAGGAGGAACTAGGTACATAAGAACACTCGTTTGGCAGACATGTATTTAGTTCCCCGCGATCAACTGCACATTGCCACTCGAATAATATAGGTGCATAGTAGGAGATTAATGGGTTTGAAGTTGCGGATGAAGAGCTTTTTGCCGAAACCATTCGCGAAAACAAAACCCCTAAGCTTAATCAGTCACCTAAGGAGTTGGTGGCCGTTATGATGTAGGAGTGGCTAGTCATTAATTGAGGTAGAATTTGAAACCAGAGTAGCCTGCATATCTATGGTGCTTCTAGGCCGTTGATCAATTTTTAAACAAACACTAAAACAATTGGCGAGAAATGGGGAGAGATCAATCAACACCCGTCTTATTAAAGGAGAACCTCGGGAGGCTAGTTCTAGCACCTTAGAACACAACACCCTTAGTCTGCTTAACCTTATACTAAGTTCAGGGAACGATCATTAGGGCCACCCTCTTTAGCACCTTAGCCATACCACCTGATCGGACTAGAGGCGGCGAACTAGGCTTTTGTTAAATATAGAACGAGGATCTGCTAAGTTCTTATTGCTCTTTATTCTTTAGCGTATCTATCACTTCATAAATAATGGCCAACCGCTCTTAGCCCTTTACCTTTCAATATAGCTTACTTAGTACCGCGCGAATTAAGGTAGGGGAAGGAAGCCCGTGGACTAACATTAGCCTTAAATCATTAAGTACAGCACTGGAAGGTTAAGTTACTGTAGCATTCGCACCCTAGAATTGATATTCTCAACCCCCAAGTAACTGTGCATGAGACGCGTTGGTGTAAACATATCATCCTGGTATAAGCCGGTTGAAGAGTCGTTTTTAACCCCTGCATTTCTATTCACTCTTAAGCGCTTGAAGTTCTTTGACAGGAGGCGAGATTGTGTGGATCATGACAGACCCTGCGGAGAGATACCTGGAGTGTCTTACTGTAGTCCCAAGCAAGCGCCTTGAAAATACACGAATAAGAATCAAACTTCTTAGGATTGTTTTAGTAACTTATCATTGGTTTTACATTGTATGGTTGCTTGATACATGTAGAAAGACATAGAGTCAAGCTGTAGAGATATATGTCAGTCAGGTCAAACCTGGATAATTTCAAACAAGATCAAGCACCCTCAGGAATCGGCGTCCCAGCCGGCATAGCACCAGGCATGTCAAAATGATCACTGGTAGCACCAGCACTATCCTGCCGAGTCATACTCGAGCTCCTCACGCCGCCCATATCAACATTAAAGCTACTCATGCGGGAGCCAGCACCAAGCCCTAACCGCGCATCCAGACTCCCTCGGAACCGTAGACCCTCTGGCTCCAGTTCATGGCCATCAGGGAATCGAAGCGAACTTCCATCGGCTGAGCCAGCGCTTCGTGGTGGAGCTGTAGACCCGGCGTCCGAGTCCTCGCCTGTTCGGACGCCTGTCCTACCCATGCGAGGCCACAGGTCTGGAAGACCGACGACCTGAACACGGGGTTCGACGACGCGCTCTTCAAACCAGGCGTGGACGCGTGCTTCGACTAGTTGGGCTACCTTTGGTACATCCTGTAGGCGACTGCGGGATCCGATGAGTGAGCGGACTGAGAGGTCTAGGCGGTAGTCTGGGAGGAAAGAGAAGGCGACATTGCTCTTTGGGCTGCTTTTTGGCGGGAGCTGATCACCTGAAGTTGTGTGATCTGCTGAACTGGGTGGGTGGCTTGCATTGTACCCTGGCTCCGGTGGTGGTGCTGGTGACCCCGCAGGTGTATGGAGCGGATCTGTCGATGCTGGGATGAGGGAGATACAGAGTGTGCCTGAGAACCGCACAACTGAGACGGATAGTGCTACTGGCAGGATTGCGGATCGGGGTTTGGGGTAGTTTAGGACCATAGATGTCTCGACGGCAATGGAGAGGTTGTCGTCACTGAGGTCAACATCCAGCAGGGCCTGGAGCCGTCCACCATCCGAATTGGGGTCATCGACGGCGATGATGCGACAGTTACTGAAAATGGGAAATTCCTCCCCGAGCGAGATGTCGGTGACGTTGATTTTGTCTATAAAGGAGGGTTTCTTCTCCGGGTTGTTCATGGCCGCCGTCAAGGAGCTGAGGATGGAGGAGGTGGGCGAATCTTTGAGGGAGTAGGCTGTTTGCCTGTACTGGGCAATTGTCTGCGCGATGAGAACATTGAACCAGTCCAGTGACTCTGGCTGATGGGACGAATGATGCATGCGGTGTCGGCCATGTTTGCTAGTGGGGTTGGTCGGGATGGCGCTGTAGTAGGTCTTGCGGAGGATGGAGCGGGTATTCGTGGAAGTAGCAGGTACAGGACGAAGGACGTTTGATGTGGATGGTTTCTCTCGTAATGTTTTCTGCCCGTCTTGTGGCGGGTTGTAGACTGAGCTGTAGCGGCGGTGGGTGGTGCGATTGGACATGCCCCGGGACGGAGGGGGTGGCGCTTCACCAAAGATGAAGAACTTGATGAAGGCTCCAATCAGTAGTACTACTGAGAGCTGCCCGAGGAGAAAGCCTTGGGTAAAAGACAAGCTGGGGGGAGTTAGCGGGATGCTATAGATCACTCCACGGGGACGTACGAGGATTGAGGCGCAATTGGCGCGGGCTCATCTACGACATCGTCAGCAGTTGTACTCAGCAATGATCGTATTACTCACGTTGTTGGAGCGCCATTGTGACAACGTTCAGGCCATCGCCAGGGAGCGGAGGAAGAGGAAGTTCAACCAGAAGCCTCGGAGGTTTGCCTTATCTCTTATCGAACAGTTCGTCTCAGCTTGGCAGCTTCGTGAGGACACGCATCCATCGCCACTCAACTATTGACTCAAAACCTTGGAGCCTGAGGATCCCATCTACTTATAATACCTATAAATCCTGCACTAACTTGGTTCTTATTTATGTCACTATCTCCCCCAAATAACAGACACTCCACACACCATGCGCAGTCTCCCATCACTAGCAATAACAGCTCTCCTCCTCATAACACCTACCACAAGCAAAGGCACCACAAAACCACCAGGCCAAGATGCAATTCTTCTCTCCAATGTCCAAACCCTAACACTACGCGATCACCGAATGACTAGCTCCCGACGCGTCGCTCCAATGCCCCAGCTCGGCTGCACAGGACCCTCGAAGATCTGCGATCTGTACCAAATCGAAACAATGCGCTGCACAAACCAAGGCTATGACTATGACGAGGAAGACGTACAGTGGACCTGCACCGCCTCGCTCCCAGCTGAGTTCAAGCTCGGCGCTACAGATGTCATCTGCGAGGGATATCGGAACTCGAATGATAAGTGGGTTCTGAAGGGGAGCTGTGGGGTTGAGTATCGACTGTTGCTCACTGAGCTGGGAGAGAAAAGGTTTGGGAAGAGTCAGAATCGTGGGGCGGCGGGTTGGGCTTCCAGGCAGACCGGTGGTACGGCTGGATATCGGAAGACGTTTGCACTGCTGGGAGATTTGATCTTCTGGGGGTTCTTTGTTTCTGTTTTCGTGTTGATCTTCTGGCCTATGATTGCGGATTGCTTCGGACTGCGGAGGACTCGTGGTGGGAGAGCTCCTGGACAGGGCTGGGGTGGTTTCTGGGGTGGTGGAGGTGGAGGAGGTGGTGGTGGCTATCCAGGGCCTCCGCCTCCTTATAGCCCTTGTCCTGATCCTAATGCTTCTTTTGGGCGGCAGGGTTGGACGCCGGGTTTCTGGACTGGAGCACTGGGTGGTGCTGCAGCTGGATATCAGATGGGAAGACGTGGAAATAGCGGAGTCGGGTCCTCGTTCAGATCTGGTGGTTATGATGCAGGCGAAGGCAGCTCGAGGTCTCGCTCGCCGCCACGATTCTCATCTACAAGTGAGAGCACCGGGTTTGGATCGACAAGGCGCAGGTGAAATAAGAATATATTGAAAGCCAGTGATTAATGATGTGAATCTGGTTCATGTACAGTCGAAAAGAGCCAGCGAAAGAGCAAACAGCCGTAACTCCTTGCTATGATGTGTATCTTGTTGATCAGACCAAAACGCCGTAAAGCACAAACCATTGCCTCATAAATTGTCTATTATATCCGTTCAAGCCATGGGGAAATCATCGATAGAACCGAGAACCTCTTCGGTTCCTCCTCCCACGTCCTTCGCATGCTTCTTGCGCGACTTTTTGGCAGGCGCCTTGTCAGCCTTTTCATCTTTGGCATCTGTGCCGGTTGGATTATGTAGCATCTCTTCCTGCAGCTGCTTCTCTTTAGCATGCTGATCTTCAATGCGCTTCTTCTCATCATCAAGTTCTTGCTGCACAACCTTGGGGTCATCGTATGTGGCGTTCGTCATCTCCGAATAGGTTGCAATATCGATGTGCTCGCGCGGTCCGAGCAAGGTATCCTTGATCCTCTGCGGATCACGGCGTTCTTCATTATTGAACTTCAACTTGATCTGGCGGCGAGACCGGCCGGGGAACATCTTGCTGATCACCATGAAATCGGTGCCGAACATGCGAAGGCCACGGTAGAACAAATCTGTCATTTCTTCGTCCCAGGTCTCGGTCTTGGAACGCTTTCCGTAGGTGGCTTGGTTGATCTTCCGTGTCAGGTTACTTTCCACCACATCTTCCAGATCGCCGGCGGCTCGGGCAGCATCAGCGTGGCGATCTACCTGCAAGGACGAATTGTCGAGGACAATCTCGCCGTTGACGATTCGCATGATTGGACCAGATTGGGGCTTCCAATCTAGAGGGCGTTCCGCATTGTCCTGTTCTGGTTCGTTTTGTTTGATAGGTGTTCCTGGTGCAGGGGTTCCTGTCTTCTTTCGCTCTTCTTCGGCTTGGTCCATCTTCCGCAGCTCGGTCTCGCGCTTCGATTTCTTTCCGGTTCGCAGATCCTTGCATAGTTCTGACATCTTTACCACATTTGGTAAGATTTCGACTGTTTCGGCACCTTCTGGCGTTGGCTCACGCTTCTTGCGAACACGCTTCGGTTTTTCGCTGCCTTCAGGATCAGAGGTACCGGCCTTGGAATATTTTCTCTTCTTTGTCTTTGCTTGCGAGAGTTCTGGGGTCGAAGAGGTTGCAGATGCGCCGGGTGTGCCATTTGGATCTTCGATGGTGGGCACAACTGACTGAGAGCCCCGCCTAGATGAGGACGCCGAGGCAACTGTGGAGACAGACTTCTTGCGGCCCGGCTTCGCGATTGTCACAGACGACTTTCGGCGCTTTGTTGGTCGGATCTCGGTCGGTGCAGCATTGTTTTGGGATTCGGGTTGGGCTCGGTGGGACGAAAGGGGAGGTTGTGTCGAATTCACAAGGTTCTCTGCGGCTCGCGCTGCTTCAACCCTGGCGTATTCCAGCAAAGCTTCTTCTGGCTCATCGCGAGCGGATCCAGGCTGGGTCACACCGGTTGAGGTGGTTGAGACTGGGGTGGGCTGACTAGGTTGGGTGGGAGGAGGGGTAAGGGGTGCGGTTGGTTCATGGGAACTCGGTTGCAGAACAGAGGCCTTTCGCTTCGGGGGAGGAATGGGCTGAGCGATGGGTTTGGGGATCGAGGTGGCAGTTGGTTTGGAGATCGCAACAGCATTCGGCTTTGTGATCGGAGTAGCAATGGGTGTTTCAATCGGCGTATCGATTTTTGCGGCAGGTGGTTCGGTAGGAGCTGCGTCGACTGCTTGCGGTTTCGCATCCGCGGCTGCAGGGGCTCGCTCTGCAGACCCGGAAGGCAGCGCAGACTCAGCTACATCTTCTTGTTTGTCTGACTCATCTTGTTTGTCTCGCTGGGTGGTCTCAGCTTGCGCCGCCTGAACTTGCGCTTGTTGAACTGCACTTGGGCGTCTGGCGGGCGCGGCAGCGGGCGCACGACGGACAGGCGCCTTTGGCGCAAACTTCTTGCCGGTTTTATCTGAAAGACGCGTCAGAAACCAACCCAGGATTCATCACGACTATAGTACTCACTGATAACGGAGCTGGAAAAGGACTTCATGGCTGCCCATTTCTATATGAGATGCGGGTTGAAGATCGAAAAAGTTCCAGACTGGGGAAGTGAGGTGGGTTGCGGTCACGTGCCCGACGCTAGCGGATTTTCCTCCTGCCAGGAGGCTTCTTGGATCTTTACCATCCCACCCCTTCTCTTGTCTGTTCCCCTTTCCTTCATTTCCACCTTTTGCTTTGATTTACTGGTTGCCTTCTACCGGACTCTCCCTCGACAGAATTGGACACAGTCGCGAGATCTGCGTCTGGCTGACTGACGGACGGTCCGGTGGTGATATCAATCCCCTCCTATGCCAGTCTAGCCACTGATGCCGGCCGTCGAATTCCCCGTCACGTCTTCAGAACCCGGTCTCGTCAAAATGGAGGACCGGAAGAGGCCCGCCGCAGACAATGACTCGGCCCCGCCTTTAAAGAAACAGGCTACCACCGCGAACGGTGGCAGTAAGCCACATCCTGACGCTGATATGCCATGGAAAGATGATTTGGAGGTATGAACAGTTCCAGGAGGGGTTTCTGATCATGATCACGCAAGTTGGCCTGCAGTCTTCGGATATAATGCTGACCCGGATTTTGCGATAGCGGTTTCAAAAAGAAGCGATACTGCGCCAAATGCAAGAGTACAAGCGGGAGAAGTCTTCATTGGAATCGCGTTTGAGTCAAATGTCAAAAGCTGCCACGTTTCACAATGACCACCTGCGTGTTATCGATTCTTGGTTCAAACAGGTGCGTGCACATTCCTTGTTCTTTTATCGGAACTTTTAGCAAACGGGACTGACACCATGATAGTTGATTGATGAAGTGAAAGTACTTCTCGGGCCATCGCAAGCCGAAGATCAAGGTCCGTTTAAATGCTCACAACCCCACGCCACCCGTACAAACGTTGACCTCCCCAACAGAGCAACATTTTAAAAGTTCCCTGCAATTTGAAGATGTCGAGAGCTTTGAGACGCACTTGAAATCGCGATCGGAGGATATTCGCGCAATAATCTCACAAGTCCAATCCAAATCCAGCGATGCGCCACCCGAGATTTCAGAAGTTCAGACCCGCCTTGCGAAGAAGCTGGCAGAGGAGAAGGTTGCGATCGCAGAGCTTGAAAAGACTCTCGCGGAAAAGCAACAGTTGGAGGAAAGCCTTGAAGCTGCTTCGCTGCGGTATCTAGTGGCTGAGAAGAAACTAGACCGCGCGAAGAGTATGACTGTTGCAAAGCTAGAGAAGCAACAACTTATGGCTGCCCGGCCTGTCGACGCAACACAAACGAAGCGCGAAGAAAGCTCACCCGCGAACGGAGGGACTCCCGCGGGGGAGCGCAATCCTGAGCTTGAGGATGCTAATAACAAGCTGACGGCAGTTTCGGAAAAGCAAAAGGAGCAAATCCAAAAGCTGGAAGCCGAGAACGCCTCTTTGCTTAGCCAAATTACTGAAATCAAAATCAAGGTAACGCTGTTCCCAGCGTCTCTGATCGCACCGCTAACGCGATTTTAGTATTCCAAACTCTCGGATGACGATTACGCACATACGGACCTTTTCAAGCAACTGCGATCACAATATGACGATGTAGTCAAGCGCATCAACCATCTGGAGGCAACGAATACTCAGCTCCGCGAGGAAGCCGAAAAGTATCGCACCGAAAGAACTGCATACAAAATGCAGATGGAGGATGAAATTCATAACACCGTTGCGGAGAAGGAAGCTCAGTTGATGAGAGCGGAAGCCGATCTTGCCCGGATACGAAACGCTCGTGATGAGCTTCTAGCCGATCAACAAATGCGGAAAGCCGCCCAGGACCAGGAAAAGTCTTCTGCATTGAAGCTCCAAGAGCTAGCAGATGCTAGGGAGGCCCGGATTGCAGCTCTCGAGTCGGAGACTCAAAGGTTACAAGTGCAGATCGAAGGTTCCAAGGCTGACGAGAATGTTGAGGCCATGCCGCTGGAAGAACTTCGAGCCAAGTACAGCAGTCTCGAGCGCCAATATGCCATGCTCAACACCGAGTTGACCTCAATGCAGACGGCCTACACGAAGTTTGCGAAGCTGGCATCCTCGAAAGTCACCGACTTTGGTGCTATGGAGGAGAAGATTGCGCGTCTCACAGCAGAAAAGTCCAAGGCCGATCAGAAATTCTTTGCAGCAATGAAGAGCAAAGAAGCCCGCGATGTCGAAGTTCGCACTCTCCGAATGCAAAATTCGAAGACGTCGGATATCGTGTCACAGTTGAAGGAGTCTGAAGCTTCCACAAGATCATTGGTATCCAACATGGATAAGCAAGTCAGTGAAACGAAGGAGGCGCTAAACAAAGCTCTGAGCAAACAGCACAAGATCCAGCAGCAGTTAGCCGAAAGCGACATCCTCACGAATGGGTTAAAGCAGCAGGTGGCTGAGCTTAAAGAACTCTCCGTCTCTAAGGACTCGACATTGGGCAATACCAACTCTTCCTTACGACAAGCTGAAACAGAGATTGCTAGTCTCAAGCAGTCTCTTTCAGATACCAAGAAGAGCCTGGACAACTGGAAGAACAAGAGTCTTGGCAATTCGTCCTCGGAATATGAAATGCTACGGGTAAGTCGTCCGATCTGTTGTTGAAAACCACGCTAACCTGTGCAGACACTCGCACTTTGCACGGTCTGTCGTCGCAACTTCAAGAACACCGCAATCAAAACATGCGGTCATGTCTTCTGCCGAGAATGCGTCGACGAACGTGTTCAATCTCGCTCTCGGAAGTGTCCCAACTGCGGCAAATCCTTCGGAAGCAACGATTACATGCACATCACCCTCTAATCGACCTTCACCTCCTGTATTATATCTTTTCTTTCGACACTTCCTCTTTGCGTCTATTTTTTTTAGTCACATTCGGACGGGTTCATGGTGCGGTGTTTCGTGGTTCAGCAGGTCTGGTTTGGGCCGGCGTTTGATGAGTTATGTATGCTCAGCCCTAACCGGGGCCATCTTTTCTTCTTGCCTTTTTTTTCGTTTTTGGCTTTCCAAAACCATGTGGGATACGGGCGTGTCTTCGGACTCGAGGCCGGCGCATACTGATCTCCGGGGCATTTTGGGCTGTTTTACTTAGATTTCAGTGTGATGTAGGACTACGTGTACGGAGAGAAACCTCAGCAAAACATGACGAATGCAATGTGAAAGTACAATGATAATTTATTCTTTATTCCAGGCCCAAGACCCCCGAATCATGAGTTAAAGATCCTACTATACAACAACTCATGCCTCCCAATCCACAAATCCAATGCAGGCACCACCTGCCCAGCCTCCTCCACAGGCGTATTCCACTCCCTCCCAATCCGCTTCAAAATAATATCCTGCAAACTCTGACTAGCAAGCACATTCTGCGCCTGATACGGCCCCATAACCGAAGCCCGCACAGCAGCACTCAACACCGCCTTGGCATGATTAACCACAAACACATATGCCGTCTCCTGCAAATCAAGCCCCATAGCCCGACACACGACGCCCCATAACGGCGCAAAATGTCCCTTAGGCCCTAAATCGTCCTCATCCATCGATGCCTTGAGCGCATCGGATAAATCATCAATGGCCGTCACAGCCGCCTGAGCCTCCCGACCAGCGGGGTTCTCAGGACCAGCAAACGAAACCCGGAACGCGCGTTCCCAGACCCCAATCAAGGCGCGGCCTTGTGCGATACTCGCGCGCTGTCCGACGATGCAGGGCGTTGATGCGTCGAGGTCGTTATCTAGTGTTTCGAGGGTTTCGGGGTTCCTGTACCCGGCTAGCACGTAAGGTAGAGATGTGCTTGCGATTGAGGCGATGGATAGTTTGAGGAAGCGGTGGAAGGATGTGACGGGCGACTGGGAGCGGCCAGGTTTGTTGTGGGCGAGGTAGGACTCCAGCCCGCTGGAGTATGCGAATGAGCCTAGTGGGAGGGCGGAGTCGGAGAGGAGGAGGAGGGCGTGGAGGGAGGAGCGGATTGTGTTGGAGGTGAATTTCTTATTTTGTTGAGGTTGTTTATATGTGGATGGTTCTAGGGGTTTGTTAGTTAGGGGAGTTGATTAGGGGATTAGATTGGCTGTCGTACCTTTCATTACCCAGCTGTTGGGGTGTGAAGATGGTGGGCTTGGATATTCGGAGGCTGCTAGTTGCGCGCGGGCATCTTGGAGGCGCGATTCGAGCTGGGCGACTTCGGCCTCAAGCTCTTGGGTGTCTTTGAGGAACATGATATAGTATAATAGTATAGTATATAGTATAGTCCGGGGTATGGGGTATGTTAGCAATTGAAGAAGAAAAGAGTCGACTTATACATCAAAGTGGGTAATCGGAGGCTGCCGTGCCACCCGATCGCTCCCTATCGGCCATTATTAACCACTTTTACTCACAGCTTGGCTCCCTCTCCGCCCTACTTTCTCCGATCTCCCCGGAGCTTTGTCTCTTCTCTCATTGTCCGCCATGTCAGGTAAGCGTCTATTAGACGCCATCCAATTCCTCAATGTCTCCAAAACGGTAGCTGCAAAACACCTCTCCATCCGGCAACACCAGCTAGATGTCTACACCCGCACGTCGTCCCTGACCAAGGGCATCAAAGCCCAAACAGAGGGCCTAATCCTGACCGCACAAGCTGCGGCCGCTCTCGCGCGCCGATTCGATGAACCTTCGCCACCCAGCGACTCGGCCAACTCCCACACACCCCCGTCCGCCGATCTAGGCACGTCGGCGTCGACATCGGCCAATACAACCACTACTACCACCACCACCAACACCGCCGGTGTAACATCAACTTCGCCACCGCCGGATCAAGCTCGCAGACTACAACGCCAGGCCGAGTCACAGGTCCCGGCTCAGACGGCACAGTATGTCGGCGATGAGAAACCCGACGCATTGAATGTCAGTAAGCAGCAGGATGTCTTCTATCAACCGTCCAGTCAGTCGGCGCCTGATTTGTCAAGCTTGCCGAGGGTCAAGGTACCCAAGGTTGCAGGTGGTGAACAGGTCGTAGGGGACGGGTTGAATGCCGATGTTTTCCACTCCCCTGTTGAGTCGGAGACAGCCAAAAAGGTCGAGGCGGGCGAGGAGTTGTCCGAGGAGATGATTCAGGGTTTGTTTCACAGCCCACGGGTTTCTCGTATGATGTCTGGCAAGCCGGCGCCGAGGAGGGAGTGGAAGTTGGCAGAGACCAAGCCTGTGAAATCTGAGACCCAGGAAATGGAGGAGTTGGCTGCTAGTGTTGCTGAAGATGTCGTGCCCAGTGCCGAGACTGTGGGCATGCCTCAGACATACCAGATGTTGGAGTCGCGTGTGCCTTCTTCTCGTTTGGGCCGGTTATGGCAGTATGGTGGCCTGGCTACCTCGATGGCTTTTGGTGCCGTCGGCGAAGGTTTCCGACGGGCTACTGGAAGTCAGGACAGCGGGTCGATCATGTTCAGTCCTGGTAATATGGAACGCATGGTGGCTAAGCTGTCCAAGATGCGTGGTGCGGCTCTCAAGCTAGGACAGATGCTGAGCATTCAAGGTATGTTGCATTCACCGTCTCACTATTTCGTCTGCTGATTTGTCTAGACTCCAACATGCTCCCCGAACCAATCCAACAAGTCCTCCAGCGCGTCCAAGATCGCGCAGACTACATGCCCGCCTGGCAGCGCGACAAGGTCCTGACCGATAACCTCGGACCAAACTGGCGCGATCTGTTCACAACCTTCAACGAGGTCCCCATGGCCGCCGCCTCAATCGGCCAAGTCCACTCGGCCGTCCTGGCCAGCACCGGTGAGCCCGTCGCCGTCAAAGTGCAATACCCAGGCGTAGCCGACTCAATCGACTCGGACCTGAACAACCTCTCCATTCTCCTAACAGCCTCCCGCCTCCTCCCTAAAGGCCTCTACCTCGACAAGACAATCGCCAACGCACGCACGGAACTCGCCTGGGAATGCGACTATATCCGCGAAGCCGAAGGCGCCAAAAAATTCCGCTCCCTCCTCGCCGACGACCCCGTCTTCGTGGTCCCAGAAACAATCCCCTCGGCCTCGGGAAAACAAGTCCTAACAATGGAAATGCTAAACGGCGTAGCCGTAACCAAAATTCAAGACTTCACCCAAACCCAACGCGACTGGATCGGCACCCAGATAATGCGCCTCTGCCTCCGCGAAATCATCGAATTCCACTACATGCAAACAGACCCCAACTGGACAAACTTCCTATACAACGCAGCAACAAACAAACTCGAACTCCTCGACTTCGGCGCCTCCCGCGCCTACCCCGAAAAATTCATCTCGACCTACGTACGCACCCTCGTCGCAGCAACCCGCAACGACAAAAAGACCTGCCACGACCTCTCCATCGAATTGGGTTATCTAACCGGAATGGAATCACCCGCCATGGTCGACGCGCATCTTTCGTCGATGACGACCCTCGCCGAACCGTTTATGCTTTCTTCGCCTGATTTGTATGATTTCAGTAATCAGACTATCACGGATCGCGTGCGCGCGCTTATTCCACTTATGATTCGTGAGCGGTTGGCGCCGCCTCCTGAGGAGACTTATAGTTTGCATCGGAAGTTGAGTGGGGCTTTCTTGCTTTGTGCTAGGCTTGGGAGTGCTGTTCCTTGTAAGCAGTTGTTCGCAGATGCTGTGAGTAAGGCGGAGGCGAGGGGGTTGAAGGTGTAAATTATATGGGAGCATACATGGATAGAGGGAATGTATTTTAGATTTGTAATTGTACTATATAATGCATACTACACTCCGATATCAATTTTGTCTTAGGCTGTATGTCACGTATCTATCCATATCCCTTTACATGCACTTCGTACGGAGTAAGTTATATATGCATATCAATCGGACTTCAAGCCGCGGTATATGCACGCCAAGAGTGTTAGGGAAGCGAAATAAATGTGTTGAGATTCATGGCTTATCCAGGCATCTCCAGGCATGAAATGCCTGCTTCGCCAAGCATGAAGCTTATGATCAGCGTTGAACCTACCATGTACAGTATAGCTTAGGGGTAATGCCTCATTAAATAGGATCTCTCTCTCATGAGAGAGAGATTAGACCTAAACCACCTTATTGGCCTTGACCTACATGCGTACTAGCATCATTTATCGTGTCTCTATCTTCTAGTTTCAACAGGTTATGAGCCCGGCTTGACTTAACAGCCGGGAATAGCTTCATCTTTGCAACCTGCCTCCCCTAAGCCCTTTCCTCCGAAACGATGTCTGATTCCCGACGTCTCCGCCCGAGACGGCAAGCCTCTTAGTAAGGCGAGCCGCCTAGCGATATCGAGTCCGTCCATTATAGCGACGACGACTATAATAACGCCGACCGTACGCTTCATCAAGAGCCTCCTCGGTAGTAAGATCCGCTACATTTCCCGGCGCTAGAGGTCATTAACGCTAACAATTCTTATACGAATCGACGCCCTATCCTTAATATAGATAGGAGCAATCGTAGCGACGTGTTCAATCTATCGCCGATTCGTGATTTTATATATCTCTAGTCCACTAAGAGGGATTTGCCGTATAATAAAGAGAATACCGTCGGTAACCATCCTCTACGTTAATTTAGACCGAGAGAATCCCCCGAGTAAGAAAAGGCGCTATCGCGTATCTAAAAAGGGCGAAAGAAGTAGTTAGAAAGCTTTAGGATAACTCTAAATTTGAAGCCTTAAAGAGTAAGTCTAAGTACCATTATTAGGCTAATAATATAGAGTAATTATTCCATAATAATACTATCAATTCTATCGTATACGGCGAAGTTATGATCCTACCCGTGAGTATCGCTATTTCCTAGCGTAAGCTTAGTTTATCTTATTCGCGAGAAGAGCTATTAATAGCTATATATCTGTAAAGATGGGGTTCTAGTATTTGCAGGATAGAGCCTGTCAACTAGGTAAGACGAAGATGCCTAGGGACAAGTAGTATATTGGAGGAATACAGAGACTGACTCTTGGAGAACCTCTGGGTTCTCCTAGAATGGACTATTTAACATGGAGGATCAGCGATACGGTGAGTCAACGCTGACGCATTGCTGTCGATCCCTGAGGGTTACAAGAGGGGTACGAGAGATCCGTGTAGGAGTTCTGTGCATGATTCCTGAGGACTCCGTTACAATATCGAAGTAAATTTAGTAGTATCTATAAGATAGAAAGCTTTAGGATCCGGCTACAATATAGAGAGTAATTGAGAGCGCGTATGCGCCTACCGATATATCTATAGTAGCTAATTGTATTAATAAAGTCGTTAAGATTCTCGAGAGTAACTATACGTCTCTTAATTAGTATAAATTCCGCTTCTAGACCGTATAGATAAAGACGTTTACTAGAAGCGTTAAAAGCGAGCGTGTTAAATATCTCCTCTGTCTTAAGGAGTTAGATAGGCTAAAACAGGATATATAGAAGACTAGCCTTATATCGCGAGTAAGTAGGTTATCTAACTCCGATAGGATCTACTAGTTCGACGAGCTTATTACCGAGCTTAAAGACTTTGAGAGATCACTAGATCGTGATACTAAGACCCAAAATGTTCTCTCTATTCCTGCAACTGGCGCTGGTGTTGAGCGATTATTCAACTCTGCTCGCGATGTCTGTCACTATCGTCGCGGCTCACTTAAGTCCTCTACTATCCGAGAGCTGATGATATTTATGTGCACGGAAAAGTTTGATATTGAAGAAAAACAACTCGCGTCCCTACGGGATTATAGAACCGGGGAAGAGAAGAAGTTGGATGCTGAAGAGGAGCACAGTCTAGACCAAGAAGCGCTTGAACCGATCCGCGACAATGAGGAAGACACATGCGCGAGTTCACAAAGGCCAGATAGCCGGCCAGCTTCTAATAAACGGCAGCGAAGGGCTGCGCATCCATGCTCTAGGAAACAGCACGAAGAAACGCAGAATATCACTATCGAATCAGATCAAGATGAAAATCATGATAATACTGATGACGACGATGACGTGCCTTTGCCTAATCAGCACAATACTCAGCAGCGAACGTCAGGACGAGCTCGGAAGATTCCAAAATCATTCGAAGGGTATGATATTAGTCACAGTTAGTTCTACATTCAAATTGACTATGTTGAGGCTTCACAACCTTAGATGCCCTCCTGTAATTCGTATACCCAAAATTACATAGGTTTTGAGCTAAAAATTGCACAAAATATGCAAGTCACGAGTTCTCGATGTTTGCACTGTTTAACAGCCCATGGGCGGGTCTGGCTGAGCCCATGATGGGCCGCCCATGGGCTTGGCGAGGTCTATGTAGTAGTGATATCATTCAATACAAAAACTCCTGTATTTTTCAATGCCGCAAAAACTGCGTGTTGATTTTTTGAATCTTGAATTCGACTTGTCTTCAGCAGAATCCAAGCCTTGCCAGTTGTGTCACGTGCCGAATCAGCGACGACGACGCGCCCAAAATCTTCAGTAACTCGGAGAAGGCCAAGATGCCACCAATTGGGTATTGACACTATCAAAAGCTTGGAAATACGCGCTTCTCCTCTTCGGGATGCTCCAGCACGACCGGAATCCGCTCAATATTTCCGAAGACCGTTCTATTCTCAGAGACAGCAGTGGATAAAATTGTTGTGATATGAAGCTTTGCATCGGAGTTAGCCCTTATCCTCCACAAACTCCTGTGATCTTGTCCTATCCACGGAAATATCGGCGTCTATTGATAACAAGTCCGGATTCTTGATGTTGTATATAAACCCTCATATTTCTGTCTGAAGAAACAAGCAATCTTCCTTTGAATTACAACAATAGTCACGGGAGCGGGAGCACGTGCATATATATATGTCTACCTGGTAACCTGGCTACTAGCCTTTCGGTACCTAGAACAACACGAACAACTCCTATCAACTATGAAAGCATTGAAGCGTCACTTATAACTCAACAAAGGTAGTTTAGCTGGGTGGGGAAATGGGTGATCGCCGCTTTATGGTCGCGCGACTAGGGGTGAGTAGGGTGACCGCGCAATCAACGGAGTGAGATGCGGGGTGAGAGCAGGTGAGACTCACCCTCTGTCGCGCGACCACTGTTAATTTTGCTGTCAGATCTTAGACTCTAGAGAAATAGTCTAACTAATGCTGTAACATAGTACCGCTACAGTACTCGTAAATGTGGGCGTTGAATCTTTATATCCTTCAGACTTGACGAGCGCTTCTCGATTTTTGTTGCTGCCACGAACGATCTACAAAGAAGAACTATAGACTTAGAATAAGCAGGTTCCTGATGCAAGACGGTTTCATGAACGTCAGTCCTAATATAACTACTGCCGTCAGATCACATAAGCGTGCTAGATCGGTACGATCTTCCGCCCTGTGCAGTCGTTTAAGCATCTAGTTTTGACAGGAAAATAAGCGAAGCCCTTCCGTATATTTAGCGTTCTACAATCTCCTTGCCTGATTTGAGGATTATCTTGTTGTGCTCCAGTCTAATATACGCGTTGATTAATTTCAATTGTGGTATTTTATGCTAGCAAATAAACGCGGTTGCCCGGGTGAGACTAGGAGAGCGACCTTTTAGGGTCGCGCGACCGGGCCGTTGTTCGACCTTCGCACTCATCCTTTCTATGATAAAGTATTGTTGTGATCCTTGACAACTGCACATTGCCACATTTGTCCGCATCAGTATCGTAGCTCCTAGTCTTTCCACAGAACCTTGTCAAGGAGGGATATCCTGGTGCTACATATATTACATCCGATCTTGATTGATGCATCTTGTAGAGGAGTACTAGACAAAAAGCTCCATATAGGAACTGAACAGAAATGAATCCTAACTGTTGTATGTTTTTGCTTTAGTTCCTCCGTCTAGCATTTGGAATGAATTATATTTTTCTATTTTAATTGGTAAAATTTAGCATCGGCAGAGAACGTCTCAAAAATCAAGATTAGACACAATAACTTGTCGATGATACAGAAAGACAGACGGAAAGCCAAAGAATACACGCGAATCGATCAAACAGTTTGTCACATGTTCGTCAATTCCCCCTCCATCTTTGCCCATGCCCGTGGAAGGAGATTACCTCTGAGCCAATAGTTCCCAGCATAGTCTTTACCAAGCATAGAGAAATCGTTTACCGCAGGCACAGCCATATTGATGTCTCGGGCAAAGAATGTCTCCATAGTCCCTGGAAGGTTGCTCCTAAAATTTGTTGCCTCGCCTTGGCGTAAAACTGCTGGGCCAAAGTTGGCAGCTTTGATTATTTCGGCCTTGGTCAAGTTATTGAATACAATAATGGAAGCGTTTGACTCTCCAAATTCGAGTCTCGGATTTCCACGAGACTCGATATCCCGGCGCATGGTCTTCAACAAATGAAGTGTCTGTTGCTCAGTCATCTGTTCAGCGAGTTGACGTCGATGGCTGAGAGCAATCGGTCCAGCAGGTCCTCTAGCGAGATGAGAGGATAAAAATGCGAAGATCGGATATAACATATTCTGGACGTATACGCCTCCTGATTTTATCAATAGCGGAAGCCGGAACCGGGCGTTAGAGATGACCGCTACAGTTATCGGACGTAGCTTTGGCTCAGATGATGCCACCACGTGAGTGACCCATGCTGTGAGAATGTCACCTTCGCTGACAAAAGGAATCTGACCACCGCTTTGAGCGGTTTCGGCGACTTCCCCTTGGATCCGCCTTTGCAGTCGTTCAAAGGCATTTCTGGGAAGAAATACTAACCGATATTCCCTGGGAGGATTCCAGAATTTGTCCCACAAAAATCGGAATATGAACATGAGCTTACTCAACCCCGTCAGACGTTTCCGTTCGAGCACAGACTCTCCCTGCCCTCCATAGTTGATTGAGCTTTCTGCCTCCCAGAGGATGTCTTCTCGCGCGCCCAGAAATGGTGGGACCTTTTCGTCCTCGCCAGCTAGCACCAACGACCATCCATGCAGTAAGGCCTGTTGGCCTATAGCGTCCATCATGATGTGAGGCCAAGTAAGAGCAACAAGGGTTACATCACTGAATGAAGTAATGTGCAGTGATATTTGAGGTAAATTCTGCCGTATCATTTCTTCAATCGTAGCTGGAAAGTTCCGCCGTGCCATGAAGGGCAGGAACTCCTGAGAAACATGTTGAATATACGGGCGATCGGTTGGCCTAGGAAAACGGCAGGCCACCGGGTGCTCCTCTATTCTCATACCAAAGGCAGCATGAGTGAATATCACGGCTTGCTGTTCAGCTGTAAACGGACGTGGGACATAGACCTCCAGCTTTCCGTTATCCTGTGTATTGTCAATAGGCTGTTTTGTTCAGTTTAGAAAAAATGGCATATTTTCTCATACCTTGACCCTAAGCCGGCCCCCAAGCTTTCTCCAGTCCCCAATGTTGAGTAGTCTCGACAAAGAATTGTGTAATTTTTCGGGGTCAAGAACATCGTTAAAGCACATTGTCCAATTAATGAACATACGAAATGTTTTAGTGTCGTCCAGAGTATGCACGGGATATATGTCCTCTGTGATGCTAGAGGGCGGATGACCTCCACATTCCGACGTGCCGGAATATGTCGATTTCGACTCCTCAGCAGTCATGGTTGACTCTTGTAGGACTTCTCTTGGGGTGTGATATGTATGTTCCCAAACAGCGGACCCCTCCTTGACCGGATCAACCACCCAAATATTTCACCTCGGTTTATAAATGTAAAATCGAATGGACAAAAGGTCAACGAAATTTGGCCGAATATGTCGACTGAAAATTCGCAATCCTTCCCGGCCTGTAGTCGTATTGATCGACAATATGAGTGGGCCAATGGGGATGTGATCATCGTAGATACAGACTAGATCCATAAGTTTTCAGCTCCAGTGGCGCGCTATCGCTATGTGATACATAGATGTGGCGTAACTGTGCCCTTAATGGGTCGCCCCACACCTGGCGGTGTATGTGCTCCCACCGTAGTGATAATTATCATCACCGCAATGATAAATTTCTCCTTCTACACCCAGCCACTCCCACACATCATGGAAAATGCAAATGAACCTACAGAGAGCCAATTCTGACGCCTACTCTGTTTGCGATTAATAGTTATGCGGAAGAACCCAAACAGCAAAAAATACATGTAGAAAAAATGGACGAATTATCAAATTACGCATCCAAAAAGGGTAATAATTGGCAAAACTATGCATTTGCGGTCCCCCGCGGGGTCCCGGTCCGGCTGCTGTTGGGCCAATAATCAGGCCCAAAGCCCAAACTACTAGTGGGTTTGGTCGAGTTTGGGTTGGGCTTTCGTGGGCCCTGTGGAAGTCTAATATCAGTGAATCTTTGTTTCTTGACTTGCTATCCAAATTTTTTAAAAAAATGCATATCCTAGGTTACTGGTAAGTATCTAGAGTGAACCGTATTAGGCTATCCTAGTACAGCTCATCAATAGTCCCTATACTATGATATAACTGAACATAATGTGTTTAATAGTTTGAATGTCCTATTATAACAGTATCAGTAGTATTCTGAAACCTTTATCCTTGACCAGGTTTCACCTATACAACAGATTGCGCGTCTAATGGACCCAGTCGACAGGATTCAAACTTATAAAAATTGCAGATAGTTGGAGGATTCAGACTCTCACTCATTCATCCAATGACCACTCCAGGGCTACCTTGTGTGTTTGAGATATAACCATTTTTGTTGACAGTAAACGGAAATTCCTTCCAAGGTTAGTTACTTCGAATTCTTTCTAAGACTTCAACAATCTCCGGGTTAAATGAAAAAGCCAGACAAATTGCCCAGGACAATGTAGGCATCATGACCACCCATTCACCACCCGAACACACACATTGAGCTTCGTCTCCAACGCCCTCGCCCGCAGCTTACTCTCGTCCATAAGCTCCTCGTCCTCCAGCGTAAACTCGAACCTGCCCACCCAAGTTGCGAGCAGACATGCAAGCTCGGCATGGGCGAACTGCGCCGCAATGCAGTTGCGCGGGCCATGCATAAACGTCAGGTTCGCAAAATTGCTTGCTGCTCCACCCAGCGCCGTTCTGTCTTCTCCGTCGGCCTTGTCCTCGTCCGCGCCCGCAACGGTCTCTTTGCCTCCGCCGGGTAACCAGCGCTCGGGCTTAAACTCGCCCACATCACTACCCCAGAGCATAGGATCCCCGTTGGCGCTCATCACAGACAGCTTAATAGTGGTTCCCTTGGGGATAGGAGTGCCCTGAACCGTCGTATCGCTAGCCGCCTGGCGCGACGAGACGCCCGTGCTGTACTTGCGGAGAACTTCCTTGCAGAAAGCATTCAGGTACGGCATGCCCTCGATGTGGGCACTTGACACACCATCGGCTAAGTTGTCGACTGACGGTAGGCAGCGGTGCACCTCCTCGCGCAGCCGCCTCTGTTTCTCTGGGAACCGGCACAGCGCGTAGACAGCTGCCGTCAATGTCCGGCCTGGCGCATGGTGCGACGCGAACAGCATCGACATGAGCTGCTCCACCGCCTCATCCTCGCTGAACATGCCACTATTTACAATCGCCGAGCAAATATTCACATGTGCGGATTTCTCAGCAAATGCCATCGCATTTTGCTTCGCGCGTATGGCATCCCGACATACCGTACGGATATCAGCCAGCGCACTATCAACAACTCGATTGCGGCGCAGCGGGAGGCTCGTTGCTATGCGTTCAGGCATATAAGTCCCAACTAATATCACCACGGCGTCCTGCCATGAAAACTCCTTCAGCCTCTCGTACGCCTGCACCAACATGTGCTTATCGTCGTCTATTGTGCCAAAATCCATACCCATGCCCGCCGTGCCCATCGCATCCAGCGCGCAACGTACCGCCCAGTCATGACATTCGATAGTTAGCGGCGCTTCTTGTTCAGCCGCCCTCGCCTCGATTGCGCGCACCGCCTTGGAGCCCTTGGCCCAAAAGAGAGGGTACAAGTCTCTAACATGCCGCGCGGAAAATGCGAGGCTCAGCGCTCGCCTCTGCGCTTTGTGCGCACGTCCTTCGACTACAGCAATACCGTGTCCCACGTATCTCCCAAAAATGAAGCGGAACTGGGCTGACCGCTTGAATATGTGGTCTTTTTCGGCAAGGATCTCGCCTATGGCTTCCGCCGAGGTCACGAGTAGGCAATCCCGGTTAAAGTAGTCCAAGAAGCGGATAAAGTGTTTGTGGGGCATCTCGTTGACCCTGTTTGCTAACCTATTAGAGTCTCTTCAAAATATAAAGTGTTTGTGATTTTTGTGATTTTAATGAAAACTGACCATTTCTTTGCGTCGATGCCGATATCTGTGGGATGCATCCAGGCACGGTGCCCGAGAAGCCAGTGAGACTTTCCTGGCTGAGGGAGATGTCGAAGTGGCGATATAAAGTGCGGATAGATGAATACAGACCAGAGGAGCCAGCCCGTAACTTGTGTCAGGAATAACACAGCAAAACGCGACACCGTCGACATGACATCCCACCTTGTCTCACTAAGCAGCAAGAGGAAAACATGGCAAGCCAGAGAAACAATCACCATCTGACGCCATGAAAGAGCCATTGTCTATTATTTTGTGGCTAGTGGGTGGTCAAGGTAGGATAGGATGGTTAGGGAAAAGGAGAGCGGGAGTCTGCTGGGCGGGGGGCATGGTGTATTTATATGAGTAGGTGCTGCGAGCTGACCTGAGACTACAGACCGTAGACTCTGCTATTTTCCGGGGGCCTTACGTGGCAAATACCCTGTTCTAATTATCTCGTGCATGTCCGCCTAGTAGCCGATTCTGCTGTATTGGCTTCATTTGCCGCATCTACGGATGTGAACAACCACTGTCACTTTTGCACGATTACAAAGTGGCAGTACAATAGCCGTCGGCAAATTATGCAAACACTACATCAAGATACAAAAATGATGAAGCTGCTTATATACCTTACAAAATTATGCATCTCCATGCTCTGCATCAGCGAGCAGGCACACTTATTCACCCTTCCCAATTTTCACATCCGCCGGCACCAACAAGGACCTACTCGCGATCTTCAGACTAACATCACTAATCGGCGCATTGCTCGTCAAGTCAAAGATGCTCAGCTCGCTCTTCAGCTCCATAGCCAGCCAGTTCCTCAGCTCCACGGCCACAAGACTATCGACGCCATAGGCATACACAGGTTTGGACGTGTCAATGTCGCTGACAGAAATTGAAATGACCCGCGCCATCCTCTCCAGCAGAATCTGCTGCGCCGTCTGCGCGGCCTGGTCCATGGTTTTGGCACACCCTAGATCGCCGACGAGCTGCTTCGTCTTGCCCCCGTCCTGGGAACCCCCCGTCTCCGCTTTCGCAGTCTCGTCACCCAGCCGGCGCAGGTGGGAGAACGCAGCCTGCGTATCCAACCAGGACAGGTTGACTTCGGTTTCGGCTTTTTGCGCGGCCCGCATGGCGCCACCGGAGCCGGCACCAGTAAGGAGCTGGTCTGGCAGCCGGCTCTGGTTGTCCGCCGTGCCTGCGATAGCACACTGAAGGAGATGGAAGAACTGGGATTCGTTGACACTGGCGAGCCCAAATTGCCCAAGGCGAGCGGCCACATCCTTGTGCTCGGCCACATAGCCCAGTCCGCGAATTATACCCAGATTAATACTCAGTGCCGGCAGTCCCTTGGAGCGACGGTAATGGGCCAATGCGTCCTGGTATGTGTTTCCGGCTGCGTAGTTTGCTTGCGACACAGAGCCAATGATACCTGCCAAAGAGGAGAGCATGATGAAAAAGTCTAGAGTATCGGGCAGTAGCTCGTGCAGATTCCAGCTTCCTTGAACCTTGGGTCTTGTTGCGGCCATCCATTGACGATAGCTCATTTTATGGAAGACGGAGTCATCCAGTTGCATGGCGCCTTGTATCACTCCCCGAATTGGTGGCATCGATTTGGATATGTCGTCTAGTATTGCTTTCAACGTAGTTCGGTCGGTAATGTCGCCCGCGTATACCTTTGCCTGAAGACCTTGCTCGGCCAGGCTCTTCATGACGGCCTGCGCATCCTTGCTCACGCCTCCCGAGCGAGAGATGAATCCCAGATGGCGTGCGCCATGCTTCGCCATAAACAACGCCTGCCCTCTACCCAAGCCGCCGAGACCACCGACGAGCACATACGTGCCGTCTGCCTTGAGCTTCATGTCGACGGATTTTGGCGGTAGGACGGGGACGCGAGACTCGGCCGTGACGCGGAGAACGAGCTTGCCGATGTGCGCACCCCGCTGTAGCTCGCGGAACGCAAGCTCGACGTCTGAGAAGTCGTGGACGGTAATTGGACGCACAAGCTTTACGACGCCTCTCTCAAACAGCCGCATTACCTTCGAGAGCAGAGCCGTTACCCGGAGTGGGTCATTCAGCATCATGTACTCCAAGTTGCAGCCCGAAAAAGTTGTGCCAGTCAAGAATGGCCTCATTTCGAGCCCGTTGTTACTCATCAGATCCATCTTGCCCACTTCTACAAACCTGCCATATGGCGCGAGACAGAGCCAGCTTCTGCGCAGCGCCTCACCTGCGAGTGAATTAACGATAACGTCAACGCCGCGGCCCTGGGTTACGCGCTTGATTCCCTTTTCGAAGGAGAGTCCTCTTGAGCTGAATATGTTGTCTGGCTTCACACCAAGCGCAATGATGGCCTTTTTCTTGGCCTCGCTGCCCACCGTACAGTATATCTCTGCTCGCAGCATCTTGGCGATTTGGATGAGGGCTTGACCAAGGCCTCCGGCAGCCGCATGAATCAGTACAGATTCGCCTTCTTGCAACCTCGCGAGTTCCAGAAGTGAATGGTAGGCGGTCGCATATACGACAGGGATGGAGACGGCGTCTTCAAGAGACATACCAGCTGGTATCTTGTGCAGAGAGGACGGGCATGCGCGCATCACGGTTCGCATCACGCCTGGCACCATCAGCAGAACTCGGTCGCCGGCAACGAAATCCTCTACTTTGACACCAACCCCCCGAACAATGCCAGCAGCCTCAACGCCGAAACTAGATCGTGGAATTTCTCCCATCGCGACCATAACGTCACTTAGATGGTTAGCTAGTGTTTCTTCAATGGAAGACTACTGTTTCCCAACCTCTCAGACTTACAGGAAATTTAAGCCGCATGCTTGCACCTCTACTTCAACCTCATTCTCGCGTAGCGGCTCAGAAGCGGAATTGTCGTCAATGAATTGAAGTGTGTCTAGCCTACCCGGCTGCGAGATGGTCAACTTCAAGGGCCGACCTGCCTGGACCAGGCTCGCAGTCCTCGGCGCCACGTCCATCTGGTTGCCCCTAGCCAGGCTATCATTCATGGTGTTTTCAGGTATATAGCGCGGGATAAAGAATTGGCCATCGCGCTCCATAGTTTCCACTTCCTCCAGCTCACCCGGGACGGGATGTTGGAGACTGTGTAGGCGGTGGCGGATGACAGAGCACGCGGACTGCAAGCCGTCGTTGCTCAACTGTCTTGCAAAGTGCAATTCATGTAGCCGGCGGGATGTGTCTTCAGAGCGGACGGTGCGCAATAGACCAGATATCATGCGAGTACTGGGATTACTGGCCCCATCAGTTCCGTCTGATCTTGTAACCCACAGCACCTCTTTGCATTGGAGGAGGATGCGTTGGACTTTTTTGAATGTACTCTCATCGATTTCTTCAAAGATAGGCGAACCATATTCGAGAAGGGAGATGACAGTACCGCGATCTGCACCAACAGGTAGTGAACTGAGACCTGAGACGACAATGTCCATGCCGAGTGGTGCTAAGGCTGCCGAAATTAAGCTGGCAAGATCTTTGACAAGATCCGGAGTATGGTCGGGGAGTATAACCGTAATACTCTTGGATGACGTCTGACCTTCTCGCGCCACCTTTGTACTGACAATGTTACATAGTCTGTAGAACTTTTCGTCATCGTTGTCGGATAGGACAATCTCAGGAACAGAGAAACCAGCGTGCACGAGCGCAGATTCCCATTCTGACGTGTCCAATAAGGGCCCATTTTCTCTGCCATCCTCAGCAGCCCACCACCCTGGGAGAATACCGGTGATAAAATTGATTGGGTCATCACGGTTCGTGTATTCACCAAGCACCACTTTTCCTCCCGGCTTCAACAACTGCCAGCAATGCTGGAGAGTCCTCGCAATATCCTTTGTCGCGTGGAGTACCTATAAAGGTTTATTAGAATGAACAACTTTAGATAAGAGGGAAAGCGATAATAGGAGAATGAGGCTGGGCATACTTACGTTGACAGCCAACAAAACGTCATATGACTCGGCTTCAAACCCTTGTTCGAGTGGATTCTTATCGATATCCAGCACCTTGTAATCCACTCGCTCACTCCATTCACCAAGCACCGCTTTTGCCTTTTCAAACCATCCAGGAGAAATATCAGTGAATGCCCAGTTGGAGAAGCGCGCTGCGGATGAACCGGCGCTTAGCCTTTGCAAGATTGGCAGTGTCGTCGAGGCAGTGCCGGCACCAATCTCAATTACTCTCATATCGGGCGTCTTGTTTGCTCTCAGATCAAACCAATCTCTGAATATTTGCATATTTACAGGTAGGCCATAGGCCTCGCGGTAAAGCCCGGGGAGGCTGTCATCCGCCATGAGAACCGCAAGGGGCACAGCCTCGTCTGAGAAGATGCTCCCCAGGGAGTTGAAAACCGTCTCAAGAAGCTTTCCATCAACAGGATATTTCTGGCGAAAGACGCACAGTTTTTGTGCGATCGAATCAACTTCGGAATGGGTTATGATGTCTGTCAGATTTTGGGCGAATGGATCATCGTCACGATGGGCTGTCCCGTTCGTCATTTTTCGCCGGCTTGCAGATGTGTCAACTGCACCGCCGTTTGGCATTTTGATGCCATCCACAACTTCACAGCGTCGCGTCATCCAGTCAAAATATTTGTACAAATGAGGAAGCAACGATGAGCATTTCAAGGTTGGTTCAAGTATTGGAATTGCGTGCCGGCACAGTTCGTTGACAAGAGCCCAGCTCTCCGAGCAGAACTCGGCCATATTGAGGTCCCGCCCATACTTTTCATCGGCCGATTTCCTCAGTTCTGATGGTTTGAGAAGGTTCGGGTCAAGCTCCCAGACCGGGTGAGAATATAATTTGGCCGCATTTACTTCTTCGAAGGACCGTGGAGAGTCGTGGAGAGCCCCAAGCCCGGTCATGGTAAGGCCATCAATGACAACCGTAGGCGAGGAGTCGAGAGTGGCACCATGCCCGACCGAGATATTCACAAGCATCTCCCCAGACTGGACGAGACGAGGCGTGCAAATTCCACGGAGGGACGTACCAGGTGATTTTGGAATACTGCTCGATATTTGCAAAGAGGTGATCGAGGTGGGAACCCAGGATTGTGTTGGTATAAAGTCCAGTGCGGTGGCAGCCAAAATTGGATGGAGCATGGCATCCAAGGTGGCGGGGTGAAGGATATAATCGCTCTCGTGTGAGTCAGACATGTGAGAGGCTACATCTTGAATCTGAAGCTCAAATGAGGATGTCAGGCCATCTTGGTGAAGTTTTGATATGCCCTGAAAGGTTTTGCCTTGAAAGATACAATTATCAGCTTTGGTTGGGGTCCTCGGATAATTGGTCTCTTACCGTAGCTGATGCCCTGTTTCTTAGAAGTCTCGTAAAACTCGTCCCTTGTGAGGAGCTGAGTGTCTTTGGCGAGCCAGCTTTGCAGCTGCATCTGAAACTGCATCGCTTCTTCCCTCGATTCCTTGCCTCCGTCAACCCCTGTCGTAGATCCGCTGTACTGAATCTGAGCAAGGCCTTGCATGTGCTGTACAAACGTATTCCCTTGGGAACAAGACGAAAAAGAGAACCTAAACCACCTAGAGGAGTTGCTTTGCTTGTCTGGATGCAAGCGCAGCTGGATCTCCACGCCGATATCGTCGGTTGGGATAACTAACGGCTCCGGGATGGAAATATCACGCAATTCAAACCATGAAATAGTTCCTTGGTTGCCACTCCGTCTTGACTGCCGTTGGAGTGCCTCAATTACCGAGCAAATCATACCGGCTGCGGGAAAGACCACGTCGCCTTGGACCTGGTGGTCTCTGAGCCAAGGTAATTCCGAGAGGCGTAACCAATTTCGCCATATAGGCTGGAATAAATCGTGAGAATTCACCAGGGATCCTAGTAAATCATGTCTAGCTGCGTCTGGCCAGTTGATATTCTTCGCCGCTTGGGTTTCGTGCCAATAAGAGGTGGAATGATTCCAACTATACAGTGGTAAGTCTGTCAGGGGCCGCGGGCGCTGACTCGATCTACTCGGTCGGTTCAGCTAGAAAATGCATCAGTTTGTTTTAACTTCGTTTCTCTTGTGATTATCACACAACCCGCTCAATAGATTATAGATAATTTACCTTGTCGAGGTCTAGTGCTACCCCATGCATCCATAAAGAGCCAATTGTCGCGGCGAACGTGTGTGACGCATCACTCCCACGCGAGAGGACAGAGTAATACTCCATGCCCTGTAGGACTCCACGAGCCATTTTGACTTGCTTGATTGGACCACCTAAAGCTGAGTGAGGGCCAATCTCAAGCATGATGCTTGGCAACATGTCTTCGCTCTTCAGCCACTGTTTGCCAGCGTCCGCGTACATGATGTCATCTAATGCAGCAACAAACTCCACGGGCTTGTAGAGATTCTGCACCCAGTAGTCGAGTCCGAGTTGGCTGCTGCAAATCATTTTGCCATATACTGTAGAGTAGTATGCGATGGGCGTTGTAGGGCTTTGCGGAGTAAAGTCGCCGATGCACTTTCGGTACTCCTCGCTCACTCCACGCATTTGCATACTGTGGTATGCATTCTCGACGGCAAGCAGACGGCAGAATATCTGTTCGGCGTCCAGTTTACCCTTTAACGCAAGCAACGCGGTTCTGTCTCCGGTCAGAGTAATGCTTGAAGTACTGTTGACACATCCAATGGACACCAAGTCCTTGGACTCAGAGAGATACGGTCGGACGCTTTCAGGCGATAAACCGACAGCCATCATGCCGCCTCCAGGAAACTGCGCATGAGCCTTTTTAGATACCACGCCGCGGTAATACGCAATTCTGAGGCAGTCGCCCTTTGCCAACGCATCTGCGGCGTACGCGCCAGCAATTTCTCCAGAGGAATGGCCGACAACCGCAGACGGGTGAATTCCAAGATGTGCTAGCAAATCCACAAGTGCGATCTGAAGGATTGTGCACAGGGGCTGGGAGTATTCGGGCAGGTAAACGTTGGATGACTCCTCTGCGGACATGAGTTCATCCAAGGCATCCCACGGACAGCCCAGTCCTTTCAGATAGGCTGCAGACTCTCTGATCGAGGAATTATAGACGTCATACTTTATCAACTCCCGGCCCATCGCGTACCACTGTGCTCCCTGACCAGTAAACACAAATAGGACTCGGTGCTTGGGCTTGGCTGACACGGCTTGAGAGCTGTCGTCTCTCCAGCGCCGCTCCAGATCGTCAATGGATGTAGCTGTGACAGCATGGCGCCACTGGAAGGTAGAGCGGCGCTTGCATAAGCTGTAGGACAAATCAGCAAGTATTCGATTGGACCCCTTCGCTGCTATGTAGCCGGCATAGCTTTGTCGCTGACGTGTGAGCGTATCGTGATCTGGGGCAGAGAGGACAAAAACTCGAGCTGATTCAGTTTTCTCCGATGAAGTCAATCCGTTCGTCCCGTCAACAGCAGGGGTTCTATTAACAGTAAAAGTTTCATTAACGGCAGGAATCCCCTCATCACAAAGACTTCCATGGACGGGAGGCCTGTGGAGAGAAACGCCATTTGTGACAGGATTGTCGTTACTGCGATGGAGCAGATAACCTCGCCCCTCGTCAATAATGACATGCGCATTTGTTCCACCGAACCCAAAGCTGTTGACAGAGCATCGCCTAATCATGCATTCGGGCCACGCCTGTGGTGATGTTGGGAGGACGACATTGCAGTCGCCCAGGCGTAAACGACGGTTAGGTTTTGAGAAGTTCAAGTGAGGTGGCATGATGCCATGTTCCATGGCGAGTACGCACTTTACGAGGCCAGCAAGACCAGCTGCGGCCTCCGTGTGTCCAACCTGAGTTTTCACAGATCCTCCATATAGAGTAGACCTCGACTTTCCAGCTATTGTTCGAGTCACGGCACCCATCTCGATGGGATCACCAGCCTTCGTACCAGTACCATGGAACTCAACATATTGCGTATCAGCGAAATCGAGGCCTGCCAGCTGGTATGTTCTGCGAATCAGCTGTTCTTGGGCTTCTCCGTTGGGTAGTGTAATACCAGCAGTCTGTAAAATAGCATTAGCCTTGAATTAAACTCGTGCCAGGGGGGGTTGGAAATGAAAAAGGATTGCACATACTCTGCCATCTGAATTGATGCCAGATCCCCGTATCACAGCGCGAATAGGGTCGCCATCCCGAATGGCATCGTCAATATGCTTGACGACCAGCATGCATATACCGTCACCACGTGCATATCCATTGGCACGGGAGTCAAAAGCGAAACATCGACTGTCGGGACTCAGGAAGCCGAGTGCACTGAGCGAACAGCAATCATCAGGATCCAAAATGAGATTTGTACCACCAACAAGAGCGCATCTCGTGCTGTTTGATTCAGATGTGATTGCCTCGCACGCAAGATGCAATGCGGTCATGGAACTTGAGCAAGCTGTATCCAGGGTTAGAGACGGGCCACGCAGGTTGCTGAATATAGCATCAGTACTCTATTTTCGTTCTTTTTCAATGTAAATTGAACGCTCACGGGGACTCACAAAAACCAACTAACACGATTGGATAAGATTGTCAAGGCGCACCCAGATATAGAGTACGGCAGTTTTGCTCGAATATCGCGGCCTACTATGGTCTTATAGTCGCACCCAAAAGCACCGACATAGCAGCCAGTATCTGTGTTCGCAATATCTGCCATCGGTATTCCAGCACTCTCAAGACTCTCATAGGCGACTTCAAGCAGTAAACGCTGCTGCGGATCAATGGCACGAGCCTCCACTGGCGAGCAAGCAAAGAAGCGGGCGTCCCATTTCGATACGTCTTCTTTTAAAAAGTAGCCGCCACGAGCAACCTGCAATAAGCATTAGTAAATTTATGCTCAGGAGCCGATCGCTATTTTCCATGGCCGTACTGTGTTGCCCTGGCGTCCTTTCGACGGGTGGTGGAACGCGTTCACGTCGAATCTGGAAAGCGGGACCTCCGACCAGGCATCTTCACCTCTCATGAGCATGTCGTAAAAGGCTTGTGGTGATTTTGCCTCGCCAGGATATCGGCAGGCGATTCCTATGATGGCCACATTTGTGGAAGAGGACATTGTCCTCTGAAAATATTCCTGGTAGCTGGGGCTGGGTGCTGACCGCGGGAGGATTGGCTGTTGAGCGGAAAGTTCTTCCAACTTGTAAGCAACTAGAAGATTTGATTTAATCTCAAGCTCGAGCTTTTTCTTGCTCTTCAAGAAACATATTGCACGTGCCCGATGCGGCCTAGCTCGCCTCTATCTATCAATCACAATGGTGTCATGTGGCAGCATGGAGGAAGCGGTGAAGGTCTTCTCTCGCTCTGGTATCCGTATCTAGGTCTGATATGGGATAAAAAGAAGTAAATCATATAAAGGGCCCGCTATGCGGGGTTGTCTCGAGGCGATAGTTTCTAAAGATCGGCTGAAGAAGATAGGTACTCGCCAGGCGGGGCGTGCACGAGCAACTAGAGGCAAGGTAGCTTCGCTAGTTCTGCCGATCACATCAATGTGGTGGCGTAGCTGAGTGGAAATCCCTGATGAGGCAGATATACGTAGCTCAACTAGTTATGCGATCAGTCAACGTGGTGTATTTCGTCCCAAGATAAAGTTTAGCCCCCTCGCTATATATCCTTTTGTTGCCAGCAGTGAAGTGTCAGAATGAATGGAAATATATGTACCAAAGAAGACATACAAAATAAACAAAATAGCACCTAATAATATATCATCTTAGGAATCAATTGTAACTCCCCCTCCTACTACTATGTACCACTTCGGGTTTTAAACTTCCGCCTCCAGATGTCCTACTTAGTACGGCCATGTTAGCTTTATCTGAACCTTTCGGTCCACCCACACCGCTTACAAACGCGATAGTAGCCTCTTCCATGAATTCAATTTGATGCATGCGATTGTCAACGCCACAAAAAGTGTCACTCTGCGCCCGAATACTACCAACATTGAACATTTTCCATACTCTACCCTGAGGCATTGCTCAACACTGGCAAGGTTCAACCCACCTGTCCCCACTGTCTTTTACACTGCTGGAATTGGCACGTTTCGTTTCACTGATTGCTAGACCTTCAAAGATGGCACCTAATGGCAAGCCAATGTTGTCATTTGAGCCGCTACACCCGACCTTTGGTGCCGAATGCGTTGGAGTCGACTTCTCAAAACCATTGACGGAGGAGACCATTGTTGAAATCCGTACTGGTATGGCAAAATACGGTGTGCTCGTCTTCCGCGCCACGGATTTAGATGATGCCAGGCATGAAGCATTTGCGCGAAATTTCGGCGAGCCAGATACTTCTGCTGTCAATCCGACCGCTGCCAAAAAGCATCGGCTGGCGCCACATATGGAGCTCACTGACGCGGGCAATCTAGACAGGGAGGGCAATTTGGTCTCCAGAGACAGCCTAAGATACCAGATCACCCTTGGTAACGGCCAATTCCATGTTGACTGCTCCTACAATGCTCGTCGTGCCGGCTACTCTATCCTCCGTGCCCATGAACTCCCCCCTCCGGGTACATGTGGTGGAACGGCATTTGCAGACACAAGAACGGCGTATCATGATCTTGACAGCGGCATACAGCAAGATATCAAAGATGTTATTTTGTGGCACTCTATACTTCACAGCAGACAAGCAGCTGCGCCAAATTGCGAGATTATCAATATGTTGGATGCGGCGGATCTGCCAATGAGTCGCCACAAGCTGGTACAGCTGCATGAACCGAGCGGTCGCATGAACCTGTATATAGCGTCGCATGCCTATAGCATTCAAGGAAAAAGTAAAGCAGAGAGCCAGCCTCTCATCCAGCGGCTCCTGGCACATGCGAGTCAGGAGAAGTACGTGTTTCGAGTCGATTGGCAGAATAACGGCGATGTCGTTATGTGGGTGAGTCCTCTGAATTCCATTTACAGATTTTTAAATTTTTTATCTGACAAAGCCAAAGGACAATACTTGTGTCATGCACAAGGCATGTGGTGGCCCGTTTCAGGGTCAATATGTTCGGGATATGCGAAGGGCAACCATCTACGACTCGTCCTCTACCGCTTATGGCTTGAACACTTTCTGGAGCCGAGCCTTGGAGAGCATGCGTGTGATAGTTACTGCAATAGTCTTCGGAAAAGTGAGATTGGTCAAGGTCTTTTGGCAATTATGGGGAACAGAGTTGTAAATCGATGAGTGCGGCAGCCGCGCAATGATTGGGGCTGCAGGTCAAATTGTCTCTACACAATCAAGCCCCCGAAAGCTTGCAGTAGAAGCACTTACCAGGCGAGAGACTAGCCCTTAGTGCCTAGAGACTCAAAAGAGGTAATTATCTTGCCGCCTAATTTTACCTTTCGGCTCAGTGTTTCTACAAGGAGACGAGAGGTTGCTTCCCTTCCATAAGTGGCCCTCTCGCCAATATCCGCAAACGCGCAATGTAACTAAGCACCCCCTGTTAAAGAAAAGGGAAAACAAAAGGAAAAACTTCAAAAACTTCAAAAACTGAAGTCGACTGTTTTACTGGGACGTGCCATAATGTTTCTCGCCATGTCTTAACACTTTCGTGAGTCTCAACATACCGTTTTGTATTGGTGGGGATTCAGAGTTCAGGTCAGTGGGGCCCGGTTGAGAGGTCAGTAGGGTAGTCCTGAATTTCAAGGCATCACCCGGTAACGTAAATCACATGCGAGCTGCGCACACAAGCGAGCTGCGCACCCCAAAACACATAGTAAATGAGATAAATTACAGCTTTATATCTCAACAACCATGGTCTATCGGGATTATCACTTGTAAAAATGTGCTTTTTAGGTGGTATCTAGCCTTTTTAGGAAGTCTGGGGAATTTTTACAACTTAGTGGCTAAGATATATATGTTTATAACATTTACAAATGTAACTTTCGGTAATTTTTGAAATGATGATGATATAAGATTTCGATTTCTTCGAAATTCATATGCAGTTCTAACAGTTCTTATCAATAGCTATCGACAAAGAACTAGATAGAGTAGAAAAGTGGTTGTTGAGATATAAGTGTAGCATATATCGCATTTACTATGTGTTTTGGGGTGCGCAGCTCGCTTGTGTGCGCAGCTCGCATGTGAATTACGTTAAGTAATATTATATAATCAATGTTTTGGGCCTTACATTCCAAAAAGTGCTTGGCAACCCTTGCGTAAATTACCTGATATTTGTTTACACCCCATCTAAATTTCCAATATGTCATTAGAGGTAAACCCCTATAAATCGACCTGGTGGAACTTTCGATAGCGCTCAATTGCGAGCCTAATTGATACTGCACCTCCCATAGTTAGAAACGATAAAAGTCTAGAAGATTTGGACCTGATTGTGAGACCACGCAGTCTCTAGGTTTAGGTAGGTAAGCGAGGTAGATGGCCTAGTTGCGCGTGCAATACAATATAGTGGATTGTATCAAGAGACTGAACGCTGGTCCGTCTAATCGGTGGGGATGCTTATATACACGAACTGGCCCATTCCTGGGCGGTGAGGTCCTGTGTAAGGGCCCTGCGAGGTCCTTGGTAGCAGGATGAGTTCGGGAAGTGGAGCTATCGACAAATGTATGTGTAGGTCTAAAGAGAGACTAATTGCTGGTCCTTTATGCGAAGGCCAGCGAGAATAATAAATATATGGTGCGCTTAGCTAATGTCCTTAGCGAGATACATAGCCATTATAGCCTATACGCGCACTTGATGATCCTCGCAGTGCGAGGGCCAAGGCTCGCTGTATACCTTAGGCAGCTTCTTCAGGCACCTGGCAGGCGGGGCCCTGACAAATATATATAACTTATAGAGATATATTAGGATATAGTGCGTTTTAGTGGGGTTTAGGTTTAAGGGGGTCAAAACCTTTAGTAACATTGTATAAAAATTAACATAAATAGATAAATTTGAGGCATAAAAGCTGAGCGGGACCTATACAAAGCTAGGACCCGATGAGGTGCTAGAGCTGAACGGGACCCATTATTAGTCATCATTGTCAAGGGTCCCGTTGAACTTTTCATGGGTCCCGCTGAGCTGGAACCCGGCCATTCACGAGAGCTATTGCGGGGCTTCCTAGACAATGACTAAAAGAGTAGATCCACCTCGAGCTGGGAGTTGACATTGTCTGTGATACACTCGAATCGCAGCATCGACTTGCTCATATCCCCAAAGCTGAACAACCCTGCTATCTATCACGGTCAAGTACCGCCCGTGCAATCATGCGGATTCTATGTATGCACGGAAGTGCTATCAATAGCGCCATTTTCCAGGCCAAGACAACACGGCTACGGTCTCTCTTGCCACCGGAGTATACATTCATATGGATGGATGGAGATTTTCACGTCCCTGCCCAAAAAGAACTTTCGGACGTATACCCTGGCCCATATTTATCGCATTTGGGGGATTTTACAACAAGAGGGGTCGCGAACGCGGTGGCCAAAGTCGAGGGTTTTATCCAGAGTCACGGACCTTTTGATGGCATCATGGGTATTTGCGAGGTTCGTTCTCCATGACTGTTTCCAATGAGTGCGTTACGATCTAGCCGGCGGCTAATTAACTTGATTCAACAGGGTGCGAGCCTCTGCGCAACAGTGATTCTGAAACATCAGGAGGAAAATCTCGCCTCGCCGTCTCCGTTCAAATTCGCCATCTTCATCAACAGCTGGCTGCCATTCTCGTGGACGCCCGAACTCGGCCACGACGTCACGAATGTCCTCTTAGGCGATAACCCCCTTGACACGAACGTTGAAGTTTGGCAGAACACAAGCCCCTCCTGTGAATTGAAGCTAGAACCGCTAAAAATGGTCGCAAAACATGCACTGTTTGATATTAATCCCGAGGTCGAATTGAAGTGGAGGGCTACCATCGATACAGTCGTGGGAAAAGATAATGACTATCTAAGACCGCGCTGCTTCCACCCGGACTTGTACGATGACCGGCTTGAATTGGCGACAGCTCACCTTTGGGGAAAGCGCGACATATTCGATCCGCATTCGAGAAAATTCTTTCACCTGTGTGACCCAGAACTGGCCACATCCCACCAGCACGATGGTGGCCATGATTTTCCGCAGTCATGGGATGATAATGAGAGGTTTAGCGAAATCATTCAGAAGACAGTGTTAAAAAGTCAGTTTGCTATGTGAGTGGACATGCGATTGAACCGCCTTCTCGGCCGCAGGAGCTTTGGTATGCCGCTGCTGCGCGACCCTCGGCTTGTGAGCGAACCCCGGACCCACCCTGCTGTTCAGAGCGGCGGGGCGGGCTGGCCCATTCGTCCAGCGATCGATCGGTGGGGTGGCTGACCTTGGGGACGACACTAGTACTGATCGACTGTAGATAACACCAAATACGCTAGCCGTATTTGATGTTCCCCAGTGCAATGGATCCTCACCACAATGGAAAAAATTGTGATCTATTCACATTTTATTAGCCAATCCAAAACTTATCAACAAAACTAAAAAAAAAACCCCTATCGCCAGCAAAGCTTCCTGATAAAATTTCCCCACAGAAAGTCTGACTGGTACAGAGACGAGCGCCTTCACACTTCGCTAATGTGACCAACCCATTTTTGAGTTCCTCATTTGCGGCATTTTAGTCCACATCGCCTCGACAAGACCAGTAATTCCTGGTGAAGTTATCTCATGTTCCGCCTGCAGGACAGCCAGTGCGCTGAACAGGACCAATCACAGAGGAAATTGCTATTCCGAACAAATAGGTTATCATGCAGATGAGAGCTGAAGGAAGCACATCCTCTAGTGAGTGGAGTAGGAGATAAGGTTAGCACGCATCTATCAGAGCATTATTATCTGTCTGGCCTCCATACCGGGCAGTATCAGCTTTTTTATGTATCGTATCTTGATGACACGTATCATATGGCTCCTTGAAATTAAAGAATACGTCCCGATCAATTTCTTGTTTCTGTCATGGTTTAATTACAACTATTGGTATGGATGTGCAGGAGCGGATACTACGCAACAAGCAGGCCAATGTTTATACGAGGAAAGATTGCAGATCACAGTCGGTGAGCACACCGCAATTAGGCTGGTCAATTAGCGAATGTTATGCCGCATTGTCTCCCCATCACTGCTAAAGTACCACCCTTAGGAATTTGATTGCGCAAGTTACCCAATGGAGCTCAGCTGAAACCAAGTATTTCAATCGTTCCAATAGATGAGGAATATGTTACACCAAACCCTGCACCGAAGTGAGCGAACCAGAACATCCATAAATCACCCTTACCTGGTCGGATGAGAGTTAGTGTGACTTCGCAAGAAGATTTTGCACAGAGAATTGATCTGTATTATATATGGTACCATGTATTAACACTACCACGAGGAACCTCTGGGAGCGGGAAATATATATAAGTCACTAAATTGTATGATGTTTGTTGACCGAGAAAGCTTCCGTTGTTCAAATGTTGGTTAGTAACTTTTGCATGATTGCTTGTGGTGGAATCGCGTGTTGGTATTCTTGCGTTTACTCATAAACTCCCAGATGCCCCAGTTGAAATACATCTTCAAATATTAGAGGTGCAACCCCCCTTTTTCGCGTGGTGCAAGTATCGTTACTTTCCACCAAGACGAAAAAAATGGCATCTTCAGCTCTTTTCGCAGCTGGTGCAGTATTGTTCTTTCTGTACTTTGTCCTCATTTCAGTTTGGAATGTCTATCTTCACGCGTTACGACGCATCCCTGGACCAATGTTATGGATTGTGTTTCCTATACTGCGACATATCTCCGGTGTTCGTGGAAGACTGGACATTGATATGCGTCGATTCCATGCGCAATATGGCGAGGCGGTTCGTTTTGGCCCCAGTGAGGTCTCGTTCATTACACCAGACGCCTGGAAGAGCATATATGGGCACCCTCAATTGCCAAAAGTCTTAATGTCTGGGAGTAAGGGGACTGATCTTCTTAGTGCTGATGATCGTAACCACTCTCGATACCGCAAGGCCCTCTCTCCTGCCTTTTCCACCAGGGGACTTCAGGCGCAGGAGCCTCATATTATCGTCTATGTGGAGAAATTGATCAGTCGTTTAAAGGGGATTGCTGAGTCTCAGCTTCCGGTGGATATGGTGAAATGGTATGATCTAACTACGTTCGATCTGATTGGCGACCTCGCTTTTGGGCAATCGTTCGGTGGCCTTGATAGCTCAGAATATCATTATTGGGTCTCAACAATCTTCAATTTTGTCAAGGTTGTTCCATTTCTGAAATTGAAGGATGCATACCCGGTCGTTCTTCCTCTTTTGATGGCAGTTTTGCCTAAGAAATTTCTTGAGACGCACAAAAGGCAGGTCCAATACGCGAAGGAGACCGTTCATAAAAGACTCGATGACAAAGCTGCGTATGGGAGGGGTGATTTTATGGATTCCATGCTTCGCCATCGTGGCGAGAAAGACGGGCTGAGTGATGAAGAATTGGAGGTTAACGCAACGCTCCTGATCTTCGCGGGCAGTGAGACAACTGCCACTTTGCTTTCTGGGGTAACGTACTGGCTCCTGAAATCGCCGGAGGCCCTCGCAAAGGTCACCGCCGAGATTCGCACAATACCGACGGAGGCTGAGATCAACCGGTATAATGTCACGAATCAACTACCGTATATGCATGCTTGTATTGAAGAAGCGTTACGATTGTACCCCCCCTTACCTAGCGGTCCACAGCGCCGCGCTGTGGTTCCGTGCCAAATATCGGGGTACGACATTCCGCCTGGGGTAAGTCCGCCTTGAGCCATAAGGAAACGAGCGTGGCTAATCAGGATCTTAGACGAAGGTCTCTGTTCATCAATCTGCAGCTTACTGGTCCCCAATTAACTTCCACGACCCACAATCCTTTATCCCCGAGAGATGGTTACCGGATGCAAGGAATGACCCATCTTCACCATTCTTTTCTGATAAACGAGACGTTTTGCAGCCATTCTCTGTCGGACCACGCAACTGCATTGGGAAAAACTTGGCTTATGCCGAAATTCGTATGATTCTTGCCCGTGTTCTTTGGAATTTTGACATGGAACTTTGCCAAGAAAGCCAGGCCTGGAAAGACCAGAGAACTTACATCCTATGGGATAAGCCTCCGTTAATGTGCAAATTAAAGTTGCGAACATAGGGCCAGGGCTAATGTAGCTCTTTGCGTGATCTCGCAGACGTGTTGTGACACCAAGCACTTGCTGCTCAGGAATGAAGCCGCAACATGGGAAATAATTCCTGCTCTATGTATGAGAAGAACCAAGTCGATTTCAATTAACTTGGACTTTACGTTGTATAAATACCCTCACGTATTCCCTCAAGAAGAAAGTATTAAAGCTTCCTTTTGCATTACAACAGGTTATGAGCCCTGTATTTAGTCCACGTTGAACACCAGTGGTATTCACAAGCCCTAGTAACATAACGTACCCGGAGCTAAACCAGAATAGTATTAGCGCCCCCTGGTATTCAGGGGCAAACCCGCTGGTATTCATAACTTGTAGATAGTAACAACAACACACGATACCATTACCTTCTTAACCTCACCTTGGTCCACGAACCCTAAAATATGGCCCAGTCCATAATTAATACGCCACCGTCCTTGGTTGGTGGAGAAAATGACATCCTTCCGTCGTATGTTAAAGTCCTGCGTAAATGGCGGGTGGCTACCCACGGCAGCTGCTATCAGAATCTGGCACGCCATCTACTTGAAAAACATCGGACACCAAGTGATCAGCGAAGGATAATTGAATCTAGCACCCAATGCAGGAGGTAGCGGCTTCGAGCAACGATGCGGTGCAGCCACCCGATGGGACGGAGGAGATTCATGGGCTGCCGACCGTGTTTGGGTATCTCTGCCACTTTGAAAGCTGTGACTTCCCGCACGACAAGTACGGATCGGCTACATTCCTGTCCACTTATCATGGTTGCGGTTGATCTTAATCCAGAGGACTCCTTGAGAAACCCAGATGTCCGCCTTGCAGTGTGAGCCTTGGTAAATGCTTGCTCGGGGGCGTGCCCTAACATATAGGCTTTGAAGTAGCAATCCTACGTCACAAATTTATTAGCCGAAGTAGAGTATTACGCTCTCTCAGACATAGGAAGTTAGGGTATATAGCTTTATCGTATACTCGTTAAATTACGAGCCGTAGATATATTAGACCCGATGTATCTCTATAGCGATAGTTAATCCGCGATCTTCACTCGAGAAGCCGCTATATTGAGAATTATTACTATTGGATCCGCGAGAGAGTTGAAGAAGGCAAAATACGACTCTCTTACGTCGCTAGCGTCTATAACATTGCCGATGTCTTCACCAAGCTATTAGCAAGACCTACTTTCGAAGCATTTCGCGACGCATTGGTATTAGAGAAAGCCTAATTCACCCAATAAGCGAGTATCTACCTCTCTTTCCTTATATCTTTTATGAAGGTATAGCAGCTTCAATACTAAGGGGGGTGTGTTAAGATTCATGGCTTATCTAGGCATCTCTAGGTATGAAATGCCTACTTCACCAAGCATAAAGCTTATGATCAGCGTTGAACCTACATATATAGTATAGCTTAGGGGTAATGCCTCATTAAATAGGATCTCTCTCTCATGAGAGAGAGATCAGACCTAAACCACCTCATTGGCCTTGACCTACATGCGTACTAGCATCATTTATCGCGTCTCCATCTTCCAGTTTCAACAAAATGTCCAATAGAGATTTTAGCTATCACAACCAATACAGTGTGAAGATATAGTTCACCATCAAGTATGAGAAATGTATGGAAAGAAGCCACAGCACCACGCCGAATATACCTATTCACCTTTCTCATAACCATACGAACATTGCAACATTGCCTCTTGAGTACACCATTTAACCATGGCTTTCACTACGGGGGCTCTTATACTTATCGAACTCAGAGTTGCACCAAAAATTGCAGATTTCATCAGACATAAATATCTACGTATGACTTGAAAGAGGCAAGGAAGATGTCCACGTCTGCTCCGGTATGCGCGAAATTGAAGGCTAAGAAGCCACGACGGCCGATCCACAATCCTTGAAGAATATTATGAAAGTAGCATATTTCACGGAGAACTTCAGCATCGGGACCCGAGAAGTGGATTCCAACACAACTTCCGCAGCCAACAGCAGTAACTTTGTTGCTCTTCTTCTCTGTCTGGAGAATGGCATTCATGCCCAAGCGGGCTTTCTCCCCGAGCTTGTTAGTTTTGTCGATGGCTTCTTTGGTCACAATTTTCGATGCCGCGACGGCTGCACTCATGGTGAAGATGTTGTTATTGAAAGTGCCGGAGTGAGACAACTGCTTCCTACCGTCCAATTTAGAGCCGAACTGCCCCATGATTTCACTTCTGCCACCGAAGGCTCCGAATGGCATGCCACCTCCGATGTACTTGCCAAGGGTAGTCATATCGGGTTTGATTTCAAACTTGCCCTGCACACCGTGATAGTCCAACCGGGACGTAACCACCTCATCAAAAATCAACACTGCGCCGAGGATGTTGGCTGCCTCTCGGAGGAAGAGCAGGAACTCTTTAGTAGCCGGACGCATGCCTCCGGAACACTGCATTGGCTCCACCAGGATGGCACCGATTTCGAAGTCCAAAACAGAGCGAGTCTTCTCAACGTCGTTGTAAGTTCCAATGATATATTCATGTGGTATGTTGAGTGGGTTTGGCTTGCTGTCGAAGGTGAGCGTTCCGCCGTGATATCCTCGGTCAAAAACAAGAACCTGTGGTGCAATAAGCTCGTGAACAGGGCCTGTCTCAGGGCTAGCTTCCTATGAACTCACCTTCTTGCGTCCTGTATATGCCAGCGCTGTTGCAAGTGCATAGGTATTTGCTTCAGTGCCCGAGTTGCAGAACCGGATGAGATCAATGCTAGAGAATCGTGCCTTGAGAGACTCGGCAAGCTCAGCCTCTAGCTCTGTCACGGCTCCCAGACTGAACCCATTGCTTGCTGCCTGAGTGATAGCTTCTTGAATTGTTGGGTTTGAGTGACCAAAAAGCCCGGCGGTGAAATCAGACACATAATCGACGTAGACTTTGTCGTCAACCGAAGTGAGACACGATCCCTCGGCAGATTTGATGGATAGGGGGAAAGGGCTCGATGCCAGTACTGAGCGAGTGCTGCCGTCTGGCAGGCTCTGTCGCGCCCGATCGTGTAGCTTTTTTGAGGCTGGATTTTGCTCCACGTATTTAGCAATAAGTCCGTTCAACTTGATCTTCAATGCCTCTGCCTGTGAGGTCCCGGGGCTTTGAGTGGGCCCCATCAATCTAGACTCAAAGTAAACTGTCCGCAGGTCATGCGACGAGACTATCGATACCTTCGCTCCGGCTGGAATCCATAGTAAAGACCCAGGCACCAAAACATGTGTTTCACCGGTCACTTCGTCCTTCACAACGATCTCCCCTGTAATTATTAAGAAAATTAGCCAAGTAATTTGTAAACATGGCAGAGTTGTACATTTTTTACCTTTAACAACATATTTCATCTCATCTTGCGTCGCGACGAAAGGTGAAGTTGGCGTATCGAGGTCAAGGTCCCAGATACCAGCACAAACTGGCTTCGTCGATCCTGGGCTTCATGTACGTTAGCAGTTGAGACATGATGGGATACGCCTTGCGACTTGCTTTGAACCAATTAGGTCGGAGTATATACCGAAGCCACCGCGGGTGTTAGGTTGGATATTTTGAGCATGATGGAAGACAGCAAGGGTTGGAGTGTTCGATGTCATGGTGTAATTAGGAAAAACTCTCGATGGTAAATTCATATAATGGGAATTTAGCGGGACTATTTGTAGATGGAAAAGAACTGGGATAATCTCCGTCGGCGCTTTTTGACAATTTATACTTCGGCGGGGATTTTGCCCGAGGTCCATACCAATACCATTATCTTACCATACGGTATCCACGTGGGGGCATCACTGCCCATCTTCCCTTTCTCGTTGCCAATCTTGGCCTTATGGATTGCAGCCAAAACACAACATGCTACGGGGCGGCATTTTCGGAGCGTTTTGAGCTGCACAAGAGCGGGCTGGTTCTTTCTGGCCCCGAGAATCAGGCCATTCGGTTGCGTGCGTAGCTCGTTCGCATGCTTTCTATACCGTGTGGCTAACATACTTCGCAATAAAGTGATACGCATATCTAGGGTTAGATTCACTGCCATCAATGAATCAGGCGTGCCTTTCTTGGATGAGTTGTTAAAACTCGCAAAATCTCACCAGAGCATTCGAATTGCCCTACTGGCACTGGTATTCCCTTCCTGGGTTGGTTCCATGTGGCAGCAAATGGCGTGTCCAGACAGAGGATGAAATAGAAATACAATGGTATACTATAACGAAACAGACTATTGTCTAGAATTAAATGCGGTTTTGAGTGAAAGTTATCTTTCGAATTGCGCTTGTAGTCAGCTGACCCGGGCTTAAAGCGTTATCTTTAGCTGCTGGATCAGCTCCTGTCTAGAGCATAGGCCATAAGTCCTTTCACACTCCCGTCTCCGTATAAATTACATGGTTAACCCACTTTCTTTAAACAACTACGACCTGAGGCACTTGAGACTGGGTAAAAACGAGGTGGAAAAAGAGAGACCAAAGTAGGGCGAAAACAATGCATGAAACGTTATACGTGCTTCGAGGCCTTCGTGTACAGATGATGGTAGAATGCGTTGTAACTCACATCAGTAGCTTTTCTTTGTCAACAAAACGGCACGAGAATCCGACTTCAGACCAACTTTTGATGAGCTGGAAAAACTGAAAGATGATAAAACTGGATGCACCTCCAATGCAAGTGGACCGCAGATCCAATTTGGTGACGAAGCATATCAGATTCAACTGGGTGCTGCGAAGCCCGGATAGGGCATGCCGTGTAGGCTATCCTTGAGAGTATAAATGGGAGACAGATACTTGTCAAAATTATCTGGATAGTATCATATTCTGTATACTTTATGGACACATAAGGAGCAATCATGTCAATAAATGAGGTAGTTTGCAGAATGTAAAACTAAACTCGTGACTATAGCCTCTGTTCAGTCAAGTGTGATCCAATTTCAATCTGACTACCGTAGACATGAACTTCAGCCTCCATTGCCCAAATTGTATCTCTATCTCCTCGACTGTCGCCCTTCGAGTCTCACAT